CCGATTCCTAACTATTGTCTATGGCTAAATGTTAACTATATTTGAGATTGTTATACCTCTTTTAGTACAGTCGATCAATATCATGTGACAAGTATAACACACCAATCAGAATTATGCTTTAGCAACAGTGCCCTTGAGTCAGCTCTAAATTCTTCTTATTGGTCCATATCTCCATGGCCAGCCTATACAAAATTCACTTTATGTTTTAAGCTGACATAGTTTATATATCAAATATACTAGACTGCATCAAACTGTAGAATGAGAAAATAAATGCCATTATACATGATTTAGATAAAAGTGGTTGTGAATAGGAGAGTTTGTGAATGATAAACTGGCAAAAGATTAGAAATAGTTAATAGGTTAATATTAAGACCTTTTGACATATATATATATATATATATATATATATATATATATATATATATATATATATATATGAGCTAATACTAGGAGTTATCATTTCAGTAAACTCCCTCAGAATATAACAGGGATAGTGTCTGAAACTTGAAATTTTTTTTCCACCTAAATCATGATAACCCTTAAATATGTTATGTGACTAATCTAGACATGGTAACATTTGAGGCAATGGTCATATGTTCAAATCTTAGTGTCAACATAAACGTTCCGTTTACGGAGAAACGGGATACCTGAATTGTATGGATAGCCACTATTCAAGATGTTGTTAAAGAACTCATTGATTGTTACCAATGGGATTCTATCCTTTGGAAACAACTTTTTGTTAGGATATACATCAAATATCCTAAGAGAACTATTTTTGTGAAGTCTTATTCTATTGGTTGATTCCTATTGGTCAGTATTATGGCCCACCTAACTGTCAATGTCACAGACCTCAATGTTGTCTCCCATTGGACGTCCTAACTATCAATGTCACAGACTTCCATGTTGTTTCTTATTCAACCTAAATGTATAAATACGCATTATCTGTAACGTTTTATGACTCGGACCCAGATCCTCAGTGCAGGATCCAGATCGTCTTCTGGAGTCGGACCTCGTACTTTCTGGATGCTTGTAGAATACAGGTTCTATTTCATATCAAGTCTTCTTCTTTCACTTAGTGGGGGGTTAGGACAATCGGATTAGAGTAGCATGTCGTGTCGCCGGATCCTCAATCCTCACTCTCGTTTTCCAACTAAGATAAACTCGTAATAGTCCATGCAGGTCAAACTGACATATTTACGTGCATTCGTAATACTTTTAGATTTGATCAATTTAAGAAGATCATTTAACAAAATATTTAGAGTATGATTTAGTAAAGTCTAATTAAAAATTGTTGTACCATTATAGTGAAGGAGAACACAGGTGACGGCAACCGAATTGTATTTAACGAAAATTACAGAGTTACTCAGTAAAATTTGTAAAACCATATCGTTACCGTTAATTTGCAAATCTTCAATCCATCATCAATCCATTGTCTGACATTTCACTATTCATGCGTTTCATACAAATTCCATTGTGTTCCCACTCTTCTTACTTTCTTGATCTTCCCCCATCTTCTGTTGCCAGACATTAGGTTTACACTCGCGTCATTATACTACTTATAAGTAGCGCGCACCACACTATCTATCCTGAATATTGTAATTTGAAGATAGAAAAGTTGAATGTATAAAATACTTTAAAATATTACTGACGTGCTTTTTTCTTTTCTCTTTAAAATAAACAAACTAACTAACTAAAGGTTACTAGTAGTCCAGGAATTCATATTGATGAAGAAAAAGGAATACTCAAATTACTTTCAGTTCGTCAAGATATGAAAGGTGAATGGACTTGTTTAGCTGAAAGTATTGCTGGTTATACAAGAGAATCTGTATTAATGGATGTTGGTTGTAAGTTGCCTTTTTTTTGTTACTACTGTATGAGCGTGCGTTAATTAGCAATTTTTTTTATCATTTACTTACTTACTTACTAACGGCTGTTACCCCCAAATGGAGCTTAGGTCGCCGACCAGTTTTCTCCAACCAACTCTGTCCTGGGCTTCTCTCTCCAGTTCTGTCCAATGTTTGTTCATTCCTCTCATATCTTTCTCTATTTCTCGGCGTAATGTATTCTTTGGCCTTCCTCTTTTCCTTTTGCCTTGAGGGTTCCATGTAAGGGCTTGTCTCGTGACGCAGTTAGGTGCTTTCCGCAATGTGTGTCCTATCCACTTCCACCGCTTCTTCCTGATTTCTTCCTCCACTGGAATTTGGTTTGTTTTCTCCCGGTGTAGGTTGTTGCTGACAGTGTCTGGCCAACGAATCCGAAGTATTTTGCCTAGACAACTGTTCATAAATGCTTGTATGTTATGGATGATGCCTTTCGTAGTTCTCCAAGTTTACACTCCATACAGTAGAACTGTCTTCACATTTGTATTGAAAATCCTGGTTTGTGTGTTGATTGATATTTGTTTGGAGTTCCAGACATTTTTCAATTGTAGAAATGCAGCCCTTGCTTTGCCAATCCGCGCCCTCACATCTGCATCGGATCCACCTTGATTGTCGATGATGCTGTCCAGATATGTAAAGGTGTTAACGTCCTCCAAGGCATCACCACCATCAAGAGTGATTTGGTTGGTGCATGTTGAGTTGCATCGGAGAATTGTGCTTTTTACTTTATTTATGTTGAGACCTACTGCATCCTGGCTGTCCACTGGATACCGTGCTTCCCTCCAGATGCTGACGACTTCATAATCCAGTCGATCCTTTATGTATGTTGAGACCTATTGTTGCAGAGACTGCTGCTACATTGGTTGTCTTCTCTTGCATCAAGATAGGAAGTAAGATGAATATTGATCAACTAACAATGTCTATAATAATGACTAGAAATATTCATTCACCGATCATCATCATTCATCCTTTTTGATGATCACTAAAACATCTCATGATTTAAACTGTTTTTTTTATTGATATAATTCAAAAGTTCATTGATTAAAATATGTCAATCAATTTCCTCATTATTTTTTTCTGTTTTAAGTTCCACCAAAAGTACTGACAGATTTAACAAGTTCCAAAATATTAGCTGAATTTTCAATGGATACAACATTAACTTGTCCAGTAACTGGTCAACCATTACCTAGTGTAAAATGGTATCGTGTTACTGGTTCAGGCAATATCCCATTAACTTATGGTAATCGTTATAATTTACAAGCTGATAATTCTTTATTAATACATGGTAAGTTAATTATTTTTTTAAATTTACTTTATTCAAGTATATAACCATATTGTGGTGTATGCTACTTATATTCACATAAGTAGTATATGTTATCAAATGGAAATCAAACGGAAATCTGACAGCAAAAGATCGAGAAGGAAAGAATGAAAGAACAGAAGACGATTTGTAGGTAACGAACGTAAAGTGAACTGAAGTCTGAACCTTTTAAATGAAAAAAAAAAACACTGAAATCTGAAACAAATAAGGATTCGTTTGCAAATGATGATTACACGGGAAGGTTTTATACATATGCTTAACAACTCTGTAATATTCGCTTAAATATAGATGTTAATGTCCTCACCTGGGTTTTCGTGCATAACAATATTTCCAAAAGTTGATGTTATTTATGCAATCTAACTTAATAAAAGAATATTGTAAAATTAACTTTTTTTTAAGGATAAAATATAATAGGAATCAATATGTTGGGGACGTTAGATCCCCCGAAACTCATTTGATAAAGGTTCTCATTTTGAATTTGATGTTTTCGAGCATGTGGTGATCAGTTGACCGTGAGAGTACATTTCCCACTCGGAAAATCCTTGACTGTTATTGGTTATTAGTAGGCTATTTTTGTGACTCTCCCGACGATGTTTCTATCATGTATAAATAAACTCGATTGTGTGTGCTTATGAACCTCATATTTTCTGGGCTCTTGTAGATTAATACACTTTCTACGCCATATCAAGACTTTTTCTACTTAGTAAGGCCTTGGGACGCTTAGGTTAGAGTAGTCTATCATGTCAATGGATCGTTTGTCTTTGCTCTCGTTTACCGAGTAAGGTGAACTCGTAATAGTTTCGAGCTTATCACTTTACGAGCATAATAAAATAAAAGCTAGAGAACTATTGAAAACTAGGATAGATTGAATATCTTTTCTGTTTAATTTAGAACAAATCAGGTGTTTCAGCATTAAAACCAGAAGAACTTTTACTTGTAGTTCTATGTAATCATGAATGTACATTCTAAATATAGGAGTCTCAGATGGGAATGGTTCGACATTTGTGATGATAACTATTTTTAAAAATTGAACTAATCATCAATAAGCATCCAGTAAAAGTCTCCATTGTTTACGTAAGTTAACTCACCTAGTTGAATTTTTTAACGTAAGCCTACGTTAACGACAGCATTGCTTATTCGGTTGTCCTAGGATATACGAGCAATGCTTCGGAGACATCGATGATCAAAGATAATCAACCTACTAACATCTTCTACTCTAATCGGCCATGTTTCGCATCCGTCTAATAGGACGGAGTGAACTGATGCACAGTATACTTGTCCTTTGGACAGCAAACGGACATCTTGCCCGCACCATAGGTGTCTCAAGTTGACAAAAGCCAGTCGAGCCTTCTGTATCCGTGCTGAGATTTCGTCAGTCACCAGGACATCTGCACTGATGACACTCCCGAGATAAGTGAAACGGTCTACACGCTCGACTATATCACTAGTTCAGGTTCCTATGCAACCCAATCTTTAAGCAACACTTTGCATTCCGATGGTGAGAACCGCATCCCGAACATGCTTGCATTGTTGCTTAGGGTTGTCAGAACACTCTGCATTTTGTCAGTGTCTTCACCGAATAGGAAGTATCACTGGTAAAACTTCAAGTTTTTTTTCATAGTTTAATTCAAAACTAAATGAATCTCTTTCAATAATTATGATGAATTTGATTTCAAATAATTACTGTTCTTCATGATAGAGTTGTAAAGATTGTTGAATTTGATTGAAATCAGAAATCGATCATTGTTAGGGCATCGTTAGAAAGGTGAAAGCACTGGATGGTTGTATTATTCTAGTACGGGACTCATCAATAATGTGCATCCATAACCCTCTCTCTCTCATGAATCGAACCGATTGTTGAATGCAGACTTATTGATTAAGCATTCATATGTGAGATCAAAGCTCCTGGGTTTCTAATGATGGTCTTGTGGTGCACGCTACTTATAAGTAGTATATGATGTGAGTGTCAACGTAATGTCTGGCAACAGAAGATGGGGGAACATCAAGAAAGGAAGAAGAGTGGGAACACAATGGAATTTGTATGAAACGCATGAATAAGTGAAATGTCAGACAATGGATTAATGATGGATTGAAGATTTGCAAATTAACCGTTTACGATATGGTTTTCCTATTTAACTGAGTAACTCTGTAATTTTCGTTAAATACTATTTGCGTTGCCCTCACCTGTGTTCTCCTTCACTACAGTCTAACATTGATCGATTCGTGATTTCAATAAATAATATTCAGATGAAATTATAGCAATTTTTCTCCACGGAAATGAAGTTTCTAACAGATTAAATTAATAAATTTCTAACTTTTATGCCTCTAAAGAAGCAAGAAAGAATTAATTTCAGAATTTTTTTCTTTCTGTTTCACTCAACTTTAGATGTAAATATGGAAGATGGAGGTGTATTTCTTTGTGAAGCTGTAAATATGTATGGTAAAGTTAGTCATTCAGTTACAGTTGAAATTGGTGGTACAAGTAAGTTAGTTAATTAATTTTTTTTCCACTCAAAACTAGGCTGTTTGTCACATTTAATGATGTACTTTTCTTATACAGTGAATTCATACTTTTTGCTTATAATTTATCTAATCACTCACTACTTATGACTTTTGTGCCGTCACATTCATAGAAAGTTAATATTCATTACGATCGTTGCTTATCATAACCAAATAAATAAACTATCACGTTAATTTACGTACAGAAGATAGAATATGGCTAGCATTGGAATCCAGGATGTATGTTTCGTTCTAGTTGGGACTCGTCAGCAGTTTACAGTTAATTTTTATGATGAGACACGAAATCATTACCTTTCGCTTCAAATGCCTTGGTGTTATTTACTTAGCCAGTGAATACACGTAGCCAGTCATTTGTGCACAAGGGATGAGTTTTAATTTTTCCTATCTATTCTATGCAAACTTTTGTCAGTCAGTCAGTTACAATATAGAACTTCGTACGTAAGTACATCAGTTCATGTTGCCATACCACATTAGCACAGAGAGGCAGTTGTCAATTCTAATCCCATAGTAATAAAGATAGTAGAGGTATTAATGGTAATAAAGAAGACTAGGGGGGTTGAAGATATTATTCAAGAAGTATAATTCAGTGAGATAAGTTTGCAAAGACGAAGGTAGAGGTGTTCACCAATCCAGAAGATTAGAATTTGAGAAAACACAATGAGTGGATGCACCTGTGCCATCGCAAACGATTCTAAGCCATGTCATTCAACGTCCCTAATCATCGGTGACTTTCGTCTCGCTGACAAACATGTGTCATAATGGCTATATCCAGGCAGTATGCATGGAATGCCAATATACCAATTAAGACTGACCAAATATCAGTTAAGATACCAATATTCGGATAATCTAAACTATTTCAAATTGAAAATAAATATTAGTTTAATTCTATTCTAGGCAGGCATTATTGCATAACGTAACAGTTGATTCAAAATATCTTTTACTTCAGTTATTGAATGTTTGTTAAACGCTCCAACAGATTTAATGTGATTATATACATTTAATTTCAATCTTTATTATGGGAAAATATTGGGTTCGTCACTAAGTATGCTTGAGGCTATTACGAGTTTACCTTAGTCGATAAACGCAAACGAAACTTTTACCAGCGTTCAGGTAGGCTACCTTGAATACCCAAAGCGAGTAAAAAGAGCTTTGTAAGCATAGAAAGTATATTCTACAAACATCCAGCAATCACAATACAACCAAGCATACAACTCTCGTTTATTTATACACCATAGAAACGTCCTTGGGACAGTTAAGAAAATAGCACACTAAAATACACAGCAGCCAATCACAGCCATGGATTTTCCTGGTGGGAAATGAAATCTCAATGTCAACTGTTCAGCCGATGCTGGTGAAACGTGAAAACCAAAATAAGGCATTATCAAGCGAATTTCTGGGATCTAACATGAAATGTTAAGTTCTGTTATAATGCTGCTATGTAGCTATTCGAAATCCTACCGATTGATCAAATTCATTTATTCCAGTACGACCCCAAATACTATTCCCGAATCTCCAATATATATCAGAACACAACACCCTTCAGATGAAGTTGTTTATGGTGTCGAGTACAGAAGGAATGAAGGAATAATAAGCTTTCACAGATAATCCATATTTATACAGTAAGGTCGAACAGGAAACAACACTGAAGTCTGTGACATTGATAGTGAGCACAACCAATAGGAAACAATATTTGAAGTGACAATGATAGTTTGGACGATCATAATATTGACCAATAGGAATTGACCAATACGATTAGATTTACAAAAATAATCCTCTTAGGATATTTGATGAATATCCGAACAAAGTCGGACACAATATCTGTTTTAATGCTGCTCCGTATAGCTATTCAGTCCTAGCGGCGTCCAATTCAAATATCCCAATACGACCCAAAATGCTATTTCCAAATCTCCTATATATCGGAACGCAACACCGTGGGATAGAGTGTTTATTGAGTCGAGTACAGAAGAGAGGTAGGCAGGAAGAAACGGAATCTGAATCATGAAATCTTACAGATAGTGCGTATTTATACATTTAGGTCGAATAGGAAACAGCATCAAGGTATGTGAATTAACAGTTTAGGACGACCAATAGGAAAGAACATTTGAAATGACATTGACAGTCTGGATGACCAATAAGAGATAACATTGAAGTATTTGACTTTGACAGTTAAAACGACCATAATTTTGACCAATAGAAATCGACCAATTGGATTATACTTCGAAAAATAGTACTCTTGGCATATTTGGTGAATATCCTAACAATATCTTGTAAAACAACTTTCGTTAAAACAAAATTTACTTGAGAACATTTTGCTTTAATGTCGCATAGTTTAAATCATGGACTAATAATCTTAATTACAGAAATGTTGAAAACTAGAAACTCCTTGGTACTTCTGATTTACAGATAATTAAACTCACTCCGGACCTTCAAGGTTTGGAAAAAAATCTTTCTGGATTCTCCTCACTGTGAAATTCAATAATCACCACAATTCGTTAATATTTCTGACCTAATAAAAATAAATTTGAACAACACCGATATAAGCGAACAATACTGTTTTCGATTAGATCGTCGTTATCAGGCTTTACTCTCTAATATACATGAATATTTATATGAAAATGTTAAGACACTGAAGGCGATTTGAGTCAATAATCACAATGAAATGAAGTAGAGATTACGTCACTACATACATAATAGGCAAATGTAGATAGTGGTCACATTGTAGATAAATCTAGATCTTTTTCGGGTGATCTATCATTGTATACCTCCATCATTTCCCAACGGAGTTCGATCCCGTCTCCTACACATTGCAGAAGCCATAAGAATACGTACATTCAACCTCAGTTTATGTGTTCAGAAAAAATTCGTGACACCCCTATCTCTCCCGTGGCCGGATATGACTGTGGTGCGCGCTACTTATAAGTAGTATATGACGCGAGTGAAAACGTAATGTCTGGCAGCAGGAGATGGGGAAAGATCAAGAAAGGAAGAGTGGGAACACAATGAAATTTGTATGAAACGCATGAATAGTAAAATGTCAGACAATGGATTGATGATGGATTGAAGATTTGTAAATTAACCACCGTTTACGATATGGTTTTCCAATTTTACTGAGTAACTCTGTAATTTTCGTTTAATTTAATTCGGTTGCCCTCATCTGTGTTCTCCTTCACTACATGACGATCTAATCGAAAACAATATTGTTCGCTCATATATCGATGTTGTTCTAATTTTTACAATGGGAATCTTGAATATTCGAAAATAAATTACATTGTTTTGTTTCTTTTTGGGATTTACACCTCTGATAAGTTTTGTAATTGTTATTTTTGTAATTCGTTTTTTTCTTTATTGATTCAATAAATTATTATTGTAGAGGCTCCATCGATTTCATTTACACAACCAAAACAATTAGTTCTTGTCGGTGCACCAGAAAAACAAATTATTTGTAATGTACTTGATGCAAAACCAGCTGCTACTGTAATTTGGTTAAAAGATAATCAACCTATTGATACTAGAACAAGTGAAAAATATTATCAAGATGGATTTAATCTGATTGTTCGTGATATCGAAGTAAGTTGTTGTTGTTGAAATAATGTATACTTGTGAATATTACTCTGTAAAATGTTAATAAAAATAATGAACTACTTTAATACATTTAAGTAACGTAAAATAATTATATAAAATTTCTGTGGGATTGTTAAAAGCAAATTAAATGGAACAGTTGTTCAGAATTAATTATCGAATTCATGTTTTGATCATTATAGTTGCCTGAGGAAACTACATTGTAATTAGTTATAAAATGTTAATTACTTGAAAAAAATAACAATCATTGATATTACTATAGTAATTGTTTCAAAGTGCCGATTTTATCCTGCCAAAAAGAAACTCTCAACTTATAATCCAGATTTATAATTTTTTAACAATGTGTACTAGCAACTATATACTTGTTAATAAATTCAAAATCTTTCGATTTCACTATAAATATGATCATTTTGAACCAGATGACTGACTAAGGTTACTGAAATAGTGGAAAAATAATTGTGCATCCTTCGTATTTAATTTTACTCTAAGATGTAATCACAGATTAAGTAATATGTGTTTTTGTAATGGAAAAAATGTTAAGTCTGGTTAATACTATGTATCGACATTAGAATTTCTTACATTTCCACCAATCAGTAAACTGAATATATTTTGTTTGAATTTAGGGTAGCGATTTCGATGTATTGAGAAATTGTCAGCTGAATGTGTGTGTGTGTGTGCTGATGTTTGATACGTGGACTCGAGTTGATAACCTAACTGATCCTAAACTCCAACATGTTAACCACTAAACTAATGGGTTATATGGGATATATACCACCTAGTGCTCTGGTATGTCTAAAAAGTGAGCAGAGTACACAGTACCTCTCCAAATACTCCCATATGATTGTACAAAAATTGTCACTGACAGCAAAGTAATAACCACTACCCTTACTCACCGTCAGAGTCTTGTTTACTAAATTAGGTGAACGAAAAGAGACTGTCCTACCCTTTTACCGGGTTGACGTGTATCTTTATAGATTCAACTAGAGGAGTTGGAAAACCTTCATTCCAAACCAGTTGATGTATATGAGGTCTAGGATTGTGAGGGAAAATATGGTATTTGGATACATTGTTTGTCACCGAACATCATGAGACTGTTGGAGACGTTAGATCCCCACATCTCGCTTGATAAATGCCTTAATTTTGGATTTCATGTTTCCGAGCATGGGCTGATCAGTTGGCTTTGAGATTTCATTTCCCACCACGAAAATCCTTGGCTGTGATTGGTTGCCGTGTATTTTAGTGTGCTATTTTTGTGACTCTCCCAAGGACGTCTCTCTGATGTATAAATAAACGCGATTTGTGTGCTTGAGATCATTGTGCTGGCTGGGTATTTGTAGAATATACTTTCTACGCTAGATCAAGACTTTTTATTTAGGGTAGCCAACCTGCACACCGGTTCATTGTCTCGTTCTAGTTTATTGACTAAGATGAACTCGTAATAGCCTCAAGCATACTTGGTGACTAACCTAACAGAGACATTTATCTTATTATGTTGCTTCTTTTCCTTGTAGATTAAAATTGTATGTTAAAGGTTTGATGAGTAGTATCCTTCTTCATAAAGTGATTTGCTTCAGTTTGGGTAGCCGGACAGTATTTCAGTCCATTCACAAATTCACCGATTTATCTGACACCGTGAATATTTTGATCCTTGTTCTTTTTACCAAAGTTTATGTATTTACATAACAAGCTACGAAATAAATATATAGTCACTCATATTCAACGAATATTAAGTTATGAGTATTTTTAGTTGACTGACTGACTGAGTAATAATCGAACAAAATGTTCGGCCTAGATTGCAGTTAACTTATAGACACTTGAAATATTGATACATCCACGGTAACACTTTATGTATCCACAGAAACCCATGAATTATTATCTTGAATATTCATATTCGGGCAGAGTCTTGGAGGTTTGTATTTTTACACATTTGAAATCATCAGCCAACATTGTTAGACCACCATTAGAAACTTGGAAGCACTGGACGGCCGTTTCATCCTGGTATGATGATGATTTCAAATGTGTAAAAACACAAATCTCCAAAACTCTGCCCGAAAATATCGTAACAGTGTTCACTGGTGACTAGCTTCGTGAGGAAATTCTCGGAGTTCTAGTTGAGAAGACGTGACCAATGGAGTTCAACACTGTCGGGTGTAGGCAGTAACTGCCCAGGGTAAATTCAAGGTTAATAACAAGATGTTTCTGTACACACAAGGGGAGGGGTTATTGACGAATAGCCAAGGCTTCCATACACCTCAAAATTCGTCCTTCATATAAAAAATGCCTTTGTAAGTACGTATATATGTGACTGAATCGTTCAAAATATGTATGGCGCGAATCCACCACCTATTTTCAAATCAATTACGTCTTCTCCACTTAATCTGTTGGTTTGGAATGAGGGTTTTCTAATTCGCCATGATATCCGTCAACTCAATAGAAGGGTCGGACTGTGCGTTTTCATCCTCATAATTTCATAAACAACACTCTAGTGGTGAGAAGAGATAGTGATTATGACTTCACTGTCAGTGGTTGAAAACGTTTGGCGGTATGAGAGCATTTGGTGAGGTAGACTGTTATCTTCTCATTTTCGTCTGTACCTCGGCATTTGGATGCTAACAATATATTTATTTACTTTTATTCAAATATCTAAGGCTTACATTTTCATCAAAATTCGTCCTTCATATAAAACACATACCTTGACAAGTACGTCTTATATATGTTACCAGATTCTTAGAAATATCTATAGCGCGAATCACTCACCTTATTATGAAATCAATTACATCTTCTCATAATGTCCTATCACAATAAACTTATGATCGAATTCTTTAATTTTTCAACATATATTTTGTATAAATGTTATTCGCCAATCATAATTTTTCAATATTTTATTTTTCCAGATTGAGGATGAAGGAATTTATACGTGTATTGCACGTAATGTAGTTGGTAAAGCTAAATTCGATATTGAATTAGATGTACAAGGTAAAAAAAATATAAGTGTTTATTGTCTTGATCGAAAATCGCGAATTGTAAATTCTAAATCGATTAATAACAGTATTATTAACTTTTTACTTTTATTTAAATACGCGAACATCAGTCAGTGAACTTGTGAATGACCCAGGGTAATACCAGGTTGCCTAAGCTAAAGTAACTGGCTTTATTAGAGTGCTACTCCTTGAGCCTTTGACATACAGTTCTAATCTACAAGGAAGTCAAGCAACATAATTAGATGAGGTTTCATGGTGTTCGATGATCAATAATAGGTTCACACTTCATTTGTTACCTCACACTCCTGGAGCTTATACATACCATTGGTTTGGAATGACGGTTTTCCGATTCCAATAGTTGGATCCACCAAGATGCCGGTTAACCCGATGGAAAGACCGGACAGTGCCTCAATCTCATAAACAACACTCTAGTGTTGAGAAGGCAGTGATGAGGACTTTCTTGTCAGTGGTTTGAGAGAGTATTTGGAGTAGGAGAGTGTACTCTCCTCACGTTTCGCTGTACCGAGGCATTTGGATGCCTATAATATATTTACTTATTTTCATTGAAACTAGTGGTTAATGTCATTTCAAAATTGATATAGCTCACTAGTATACTACCTGCAACAGTCTATATTGTTGTAAATAATCAACAAATCGATTAAAGGAACTGTGGCATAACATGTTAATAATGTCAACAACAAATGTTCAATTACATTTACAGTTATGTTATTATTTTGTATGTAACTGATTGATCTAGCAGTGTTCAGCTGTGGAATGTTTCCATTACAATTCAATCAAATGCTATCATACTTCATTACAGTTTCCAATATGTCACATTTCGATAAATTCATTATTCCATCTAAACGATTTGAAATATTAGTTTGTTATTGAGATGGTGGAGAAAACTTGTAGCTCAGGTGGATGATTGTGGTGTTGGTGTTTGGTTCTCTGAACTGGATGTTCCGGTTGTGGAGCTTTCTTCGTTGTTCTCTTGCTGAACAACATCATCAGCAGCACAAACTTAAGATAGCAGAAGTGAAGTAATCGAACTTCTCCACGTTTGACCTGTTGCTTGTTCTACTAATCTCGATCTTGATTAGTTGCTGTTGACCTTAAGTCTGTCATTGTCAATGCACATTCGTTTTGATTGTACCCACTTTAGATCTGTTTTTGATCCTATGTCACTTATTATTTTTCTGATTGTTTGATAAATTGGGTCAATGTCGATGTGTTTATTGATTGCTGATTGACCTGAGTGCCAAGCTTCTAAAAATTCTCTGGTGTTCTTTGTCCTCACCCTATCCAGTATTTTGACATTGTTCCAATCAAATATGTGTCGGTGTGTATTGATATAAGCGAATGTTTGTCGTGGCGTTTGACTGCTAATTGATGTTCACATAAACGGAGCTGAAGAGGCCGTCCACTTTGTCCTATGTAGTGTTTTTCACAGTCTGAACAGTTGTTTATTTTGTAGATGATATTTGGCATTTCTTCCTTTGTCATTTTATCCATTGGCCTACATAGGATTGATTGAAGTGATTCTGTTGGTTCGTGTGCCAAACCTATTCCAAATGGTTTCAGTAGTCGTGCTGTATGCTCCGATATGTCTTTTATATATGGTAGGATGACCTGTTTTATTGGTTCCTGTTGACGGTTTGAGATGATGTGTTTTGATGAAGTTGAGTGGATAGCCGTTCTCTTGAAAGATAGTCATCAGGTGTTTTTCCCCGTTTTCTGAATGCTTCACATGTGCTGCAGTATGTCTTCACTCTCTTGAACGACGCTTGTATGCAGTTGATTTTGTGGGTTCTTGGTTTGTGTCAGGATATTCACTTAATATCCTGTGGGAATTATTGGTCAATTCCCATTGGTTAATTCTTATTGGTCAATTTTATGGTCGTACTAGATATCAATCCTGATTCTCTTCTGGACTCGGACCTCGTACTTTCTAGATGCTTGTAGAATACAGGTGCCACTTCATATCAAGTCTTTTTGTTTCACTCAATGGGGGTTGGGACAATCGGATTAGAGTAGCATGTCGTGTCACCGGATCCTCGATCCTCGCTCTCGTTTTCCGACTAAGGTAAACTCGTAATAGTAATAATTCAAGCACATCAAAATGACATGTTTACGTTCATGCGTAACAGTTTGTTGCCGTTGTATTTGAGAATTACGTCTATGTGGGTTAGTTTCCGAAATACTTGAGTTTCCAGTTATCGTGTGTTAGTTCTGTTGATTAATACATCCAGAAATGACAGACTATTGTTTGATTCCTTTTCCATCATGAATTTGATGTCATCGAAGATTTTGTTGATCTGATTGATAATGACGAATGTGTCGCCTACATGGGGAACCCACATTTTTGGCTTGATCACTGGTAAAATCGACGCTTCCAGTCTCTGCATTACAGCTTCCACGATGAGTCCCGATACTGGTGATCCCATTGGTGTTCCTTTTGTTTGTTCGTAGACTATGTTGTTGAACTGAAAATACGTTGTTAAGCATAGATCGATGAGTTCAAGCAGACTTTGACTCTGAAGCTTTGTATATTTGTGCAAATTGTGTCGTTGATGAAGAGCAGGGAAAGAGTTTCTTTGACTAAGCTTGGCTGTATTGAGGTAAATAAGGCTGTTACGTCGATGGATATCATCGTTTCGTCGTTGTCGATTTGAATCCCCTTGAGTTTATCCAAGAATTTTGTGGCAGATTTAATGGAGTAGTTGGATCAATCCACAACCAAAACATCCAGCTCAGAGAACCAAACATCACCACCACAATCATCCACCTGAGCTAAAAATCTTCTCCACCATCTCAAAAGCATAAATGTCTTCTAATCATAAATGGGGAAAATAGAATACTTAACTTTTAAAAAAAAACCATCTATTCATTTCTCATTTCATTTTTTTTAATGCTTAATATTTTTTTTTAGGTAAACCGAAATTTTTAGATTCGTCGATTGGCGGTAAAATTGATGTAACACAAGGTGATAATTTAGTATTAGAATGTAAAGTTGAAGGTGATCCAAAACCATTAGTTGAATGGCGTAAAGATGGTCGAATTATTTTACCTCAAGGACCAGGAGGTGGAAGTGGAGGTGGAGGTGGTGGCGCAGCAGCTATAACAAGTACAGGAACACTGTATGGATCCAATATAGGTACAACAGGACCAGCTATTGTTATTTCACCTGATGGTTATACGCTGACTGTATATTCAGTGACCGAGTCGGTTGCTGGTAGTTTTACATGTTCAGCAATTAATGTTCATGCAATTGAGTCGAAAGAATTTGAAATAGTAGTTAAAAGTAAGTTATTACTATCATTATTATTTTTAATTTATTTAAAAATATATTACTTATTTACTTATTTACTTACTTACTTACGCCTGATACTCCGAATGGAGCATAGGCCGTTGACTGGCATTCTTCAACTTACTATACGTTATGTCTAAGGCCTTCCTTTCTAGTTCTATCTAATCGCTTTTGAAAAATAAATATTCAAGAGATTGTAGGGTCATTAACATATATCTTACTTTTACAGTAAAATCATGAATCAGTCATTTTTAAACCACCATTAGAAACTTGAAAGTACTACAGAAGACGGCTGTTTTGTCCTAGTGTTATACTCGTCACCTGATCGACTTGAAATTATTACGGGTTCACCTTAGTCGATAAATGAGTCCGAGTAGGCTACTCTGATCTGTTGACTCAAAGGAACTAACGAAAAATCTTGATATAGCGTAGGGAAGTATATTCTACAAACGCCCAGCCAGCACACAATGATCTCAAACAAACAAATCGCGTTTGTTTAAACATCATAGTAACGTCTTTGGGAGAGTTACAAAAATGGCACACTAAAATAACACAGTAATCATTCACAGCCAAGGATTTTCTTAGTGGTAATTGTGATCTCAAGGTCTACTGATCAGCTCATGAATAAAATCCAAAATTAAGATATTTATCGACTGTGGTCTGGGGATCTAATATCCCCAACACATAGTAAGGGACTCATCACTAGTGCATATCCACAATTCCTGTTACTCCTAATATTTGAATTCAAGAACTTTGGTCTTGTGTGAGAACTCTTCACCTCTGGACCAGTGTGATTGGACATTTAACGGTGTTCATGTCTAACTTTGATCAATCTAAGGATTGAAATTTTAAACTTGGTTAAAAAAAATTTACATCATTCGAAATATATAATTATATTTTTAAAAGAAATGTTAAAAAGTACTGTCTTGATGAAAAATTTCGGGTAATTACTTTTTTAATAGTTTAATTACTGTAAAATAAATATTTCCAGTTGTAGATTTGTTTAAACTAACTAATCATGTATGTTTATCTCGTAAACTTGACGAGCTTTTATTTCAAAAACGAAATGCACAAATTGCCCCAAAGCTTCATAGAAATCATGAACTGCACAATGTTAGACCATCATGAGAAAAAACCTGAAAGCTTTGAACAAATGTTTCGTTCAAGAATAGAACTAATTAGCGGTGCGCATTCAAAACTCCAGGTGAAGGAATGGAACTTAGGAAATTCGATCTCACGCGCGAATACTAAACCTCTTGACCAATGAGTCAGCATTCAGTGGTATTAATATTTAACTTGAATCAGTCCACCATATTGCGTGACCATCATCCACGGTGTGTGCGTGTATGAAGTTGGATAATAGAAAATATGAATTAGTGGAGTTCGAAATGGTTATAATAAATTTTGTGTGTGTGTGTGCAGAATTATGTGAAATAGGTGATCATTCTTATTGTGGATAGAGGAATTCAGCCTTGTATGAAATGCTACGGCCAGTCTCATCTCTTTCTAGTTGAAAAAACAGCTTCGTCAAACGCCACGACACTTCTTCGCTTATATCCAATACACACCGACAGTTATGGACATACGTTCGGTTGGGACAATCTGGAAATACTGGATAGGGGGAGCACAAGGCGAACACTAGAGAATTTTTAGAAGCTTGGCACTCAGGTCAATCAGCAATCAACAAACACATCGGCAGTGACCCAATTTATCAACCAATCAGATAAATCATAGGTGACATATGATCAAGAAACAGATCAAAAGAGGGACACAATCAAAACGAAAGTGCATTGATAACGACAGATTAAAGGTCGACAGCAACCAATCAAGATCGAGGTTAACAGAACAAGTTACAGGTCAAACGTGGAGAAATTTGAATACTTCACTCCTGCTATCTGAATTTTGTGCTGATAACGATGTTGTTCAGAATAAGAACAACGATGAAAGCTTTTACAACCAAAATATCCAGCTCAGAGAACGAAACACCACCACGATCTCCTGAATCAGTTTTGACATTTTAATTATCGATTTGGTGGTTGTTAACCGTAGCTTGTACTGTTATTGCCGATTTAACTTTTGAAACTTGACTATTCATCCAAACCTGAACTGCTTATTCAAAACAATCACACTTGACTTGATTTATTAACACAAACTACATGGTGTTTTTTTTATCCAACTTTATACACACAAATAAACACTTTGTGGTATAACATTGATATGCTTGAATGCTATTATGAGTTCACCTAACTCGGCAACAGAACGAAGATCAACGATGCATTGGCATGATAGGCTATTCTTATGTGATTGTCCCAGACCCAGATAACCAAAAGCAAAAGTCTTGACTAGATGTAGAGAATATATTCTACAGACACCCAAAAAGGTTGAAATTACCAAACACACAACTCAAGCTTATTTATACAATGATAGCAACGCCCTTGATGACAGCCAGAAAAATAACGTACTAAAATACTGCATCAGCCTATGACAGTGAAGGATTTTCCGAGCGGGAAATGTGAACTGAAAGTCAACTAAGTGTCTTTGACGCGGAAACAATGAAATTTAAAAATTGCAGAATAAAATGACAAAATCTGAACCTTTTTCAAGTGAGTTCTTGGGATCTAACATCCCTACAAAAACATAGTGTGGTGTGAGCTACTAATAAGTAGTATATGACGTGAGTGTCAACGTAATGTTTGGCAGCAGAAGATGGGGAAAGATCAAGAAAGAAGGAAGAGTTAGAAGAACACAATGGAATTTGTATGAAACGCATGAATAGTGACAATGGATTGATGTTTTGCAACAGGAACAGTCCAGTTCGATATGATGAACTGATAATTTGCAAATGAACGATTTGCGATATGGTTTTCCGATTTTACTGAGTAACTCTGTAATTTTCGTTAAATACAATTCGGTTGCCCTCACCTGTGTTCTCCTTCACTACAATAGTACCACCTTGATTAAAAAATGACATGACATTGGCATGTTCAAACCCGATCAAGATGTCAACTTGTATTATTTCATTTCGGTTATTTATTCATTTAGCCTGAAGAAGTGATTTGTATACAGTCACGAAATGTTCAAGATATATAAATTTCTACCCCAATCGGATTTCATTTACCCATTCAATATTCAATTTGAAATCATCAATCAATCATTGTTAGACCACACCATTAGAAACCTGGAAGCACTGGACGGCCGTTTCGACCTGGTATGGGATTCATCAGCAGTGCGTATCCACAACCCCCTCATCTTGCAGGATTCGGACCCAGGACCTTCTGCATTGATGATTTCAAATGTGTAAAAACGCAAACCTTCAAAACTCTGCCCCAAAATATCGTAACAGTGCTCACTAGTGACTAGCTTCGTGAGCAAATTCTCGGAGTTCTAGTTGAGAAGACGTGACCAATGGAGTTCAACCCTGTTGGGTGTAGGCAGTAACTATCAAAGACAAATGGGTGAGGTCGCTCAAAATCCCTAGATCAATCAGAGTTAGACATTAACACCGTTGGATGCCGGTCCATTGGTCCGATGTTTAGGCGTTCGCCTACAATACCGAAGGTCCCGGGTTCGAATCGTGCGAGGAGCAGGGGTCGTGGATGCGCATCGCTGATGAGTCCCACACCAGGACGAAACGACCGTCCAGTGCTTCCAGGTTTCGAAAGGTGGTCTAACAATGATTGATTGATGATTTCAAATGTTACACATTTTTGAAACCATGAATCGATCAATGTTAGATCACCATTAGAAACCTGGAAGCACTGGACGGCCGTTTCGTCCTGGTATGGGACTCCTCAGCAGTGCGCATCCACGACTCCTGCACCCCGCAGGATTCGAACCCGGGACCTTCGGTATTGTGCGCGAACGCCCTAACCGTTAGACCACTAAGCCTGTATCCAACGGTGTTAATGTCGAACTTGATCGAATTCACGGAGTTGCGCAACCTCATACACAGTCTTCGGTAGACACTGCCTACATCCGAACAGGCTGAACTTCACTGGTCACGTCTTCCCACTAGAACTCGGAGAAGATTCCTCACGAAGCTAGTCACTAGTGAGCACAGGTAATTTGCATTACGGGGTTGTGAAGATTGTTAAGTTATACATTTTTGAAACCATGAAAACAAACAATCTAATCCAACCCTAATATTGAAATCTAAAAAAAATCATTGATTAGAATTTCTGTGAATTCAATGAAAATCTCTTTACTCTTTTATTTCTCATTCTTTTTCTTTTTCTCAGCACCACCTGTTATTTCAAAAGATGGTAATAGTGAATTTGAATTAGGTAATCAAGAAATTGGTTTATTAACTTGTCTAATTGCACTGAGTCAACCACCAGCTAAAATAACATGGTATAAAGATGGACGACCATTGGAACAAATTCCTGGACGCGTTAATTTTCTTGATCATGGACATACTGTGGTAAGTGAAATATGTAGTGTGAGTATTGTTTGCTTATTATGTTTAGCTCATTAGGGCTAGTCGTTCCACTTGTCTTTTGACCCTTGTCGGTCATTCGTTTATATTGGCGTTGCTTTTATTCATATATGTGTGCTCGCCTATCTTGCTTATTTTTGTCTGACTATATATTCGTAGTCTTGCCTCATCGAATGGAGTTGGCTCTCTCGCCTTCTCCACTTCACTTCACTTCGCTTTGCTTTGCTTGTATGCTTTTCGTTATCCCGTCTGTGTGAATGAGTGTCTGACATCCAACCGAATCCGTATTTGGCTTCTTATTACCGCCGTCGCACAAACACGGTTCGCCTAAGTATAATATACGGAAACTGATGGGGAAGATTTATTTCATAGCATATTTAAATGTTCATAAATTTTGGGTCGCTGGTCACCAAAAATATACTTTAATGGGTTGCGTTATGTTCATTGTCGGGCTGCGTTGAACTCGGAATAGAGCTCACTGCTTTAGTGGGGCGTGATCTGACTCCTTTATTTGTGATGCTGTGAAATAAACTTCCCCTTTAAGTCTTCGTATATCATACTTAGGTGAACCCCGTTTGTTTGAACGGCGGTAATAAGAAGACAAATATGGATTCGGTTCGATCAATTCATTTCAGACAATCGTTCACATAGACAGACATGTGAATGATTAGTACACAAGCAAAGTGAAATGGAAGCTATATGGGCTCAACATTTTAGTACATACACTACAGTAATTTCTATTCATCTATGAAGTAAACAAATAGAGTTGTTGAGTTTATTCGTGCAATCCGTGTTTAAATTTTGCGGAAAAATTCAACCTATACCTATCTAATAAGACATTACACAGACGAGAGGAAATTATTCATCAATAAATAAATCATATTACTAATGAAATCTGATGTATATATATATATATAGTTACACATTGAAATCATCATTCAATCATTATTAGACGACCATTAGCAACCTAGAAGTATTGGACGGCCGTTTCGTCCTGGTATGGGACTCATCAGCAGTGCGTATCTAGGAGGTGCTGGAGTGGTCTAGCAATGGTGTATCATTGAGAGATTGTGTGACTGATATCTGGCGAGTTTTGTCTGACATAATTATAGGGATATAATAGTGTTCATATAAAGAGTAGACTATATGATGTGGAGTAGATGTGTAGAGTTTACTGAAACTTTATCGTACCGAATGAAACGATAATGAAATGCTTTTTAATTTATTGAGACTTTCTAATTCATAACTCTTCAAATTACAGTACCTAATGTAAGTTTGTCAGGTAGTTTTTTCATGAAACGAAACATTTTATTCACAAAAATGTCAAATAAACATTGTTAATTACAATCAGATAATAATAATAATAATAATAAATTTGAGTTTAACCCATGTACATCTCCTTAAGTAGGTTGGACTAAAAAAATCTTTGCAAAAAACTAAAGACAAGTATGAATCTGTTTGATTCTAAACTAAGGCTATTTTACGTTGTACATACATGATTTCTATACAAGATAAAACCGAAGATGTATTACTTTTATAATTGGGTTAATATTATTCAATAAACAATAAATAATTTTACAAAATCTTCATTATTTTCAAATTTATTCAAAACTTAGTTAATATTTATTTTCTTAAAACAATTGAATTTTCATTATAAAACTTTCAACTATAGAAAATTTATTGAATCAATAATAATGAACTGACCAGTGATAAATTTTGTGATGGATTTCTCAGATTTCTAGTGAAAAACTTTATATCTGTGAAATTCATCAAATTGGACATTAAACAGTCAGAGATGATATTTTATTTGAGGTCAGTCAATATACCTGCAGCACATGCACTCATGTTGTTTTTACATAGCGCAAAAGATCACACGGATGTCAATACATATGCTCTCTCTCTCGCCCAAACGGTACGTACATATTGTCTAGTTTCTTCCGTAGGTCTGTCGGACATCCAAACAGTTGCTGCATGAACAGACACTCCTGTATGGGTTCTTATGAATTAACTCGATGATATTGAATGACATACATATGTACTTACTTACTTACGCCTGTTTTACCCTTAATATAGCATACGCCAACAACAAATATTCTACAACCTACTTTGTTCTGGACCTTCCTTTCCAGTTCTACTCAACTACTGTTAGTTCTTTTCATGTCTGCTTCCAATTCAGGGCGTGATGTGTTCTTCGGTCTACCTATTTTCCTTTGACCATATGAGCTCCAAGTGACAGCTTGACTAGTGATGTGGTTGAGTGATTCCCAAAATCAGTTTTCTATCCACTTCGACTCTTTGCCCTAATTGCTTCCTCAGCTGGAGGAACCTGCTTCGTTTTCTCCTACAGTAGGTTGTTGCTGATGGTGCCTTGCCAACAGATCCTTAATATCTTGCATAGACGACTGTTAATAAACACCTATATTTTATAGACGATGACTTTTATAGTTCTCCAAGTTTTCGCTACATACAAGAGAACAACTGTTTTGACATTTGTATTGAAAATTATGCCTTTAGTGTTGGTTGGCTATTGTTTTGAGTTGCAGATATTCTTCATTTTTAGAAATGCTTTCCCTGTTTTTGCTAGAGATATTAGATGAGATACAGACCAAATAGAAAAAATCGATTTAACTTTTCATACATGATCATGTGACCCCGAGGTTCTTCACTCGATCCCCGATTGGGCTGTTACTACTTACTACTTTATAATTCTCAACGATTCCATAATGGATAACAGTTTATCATCATACAACTTTATTACATAATACTATTTCAGTAAATATTCTTGTTTTTTTTTTAAAAATTGTTAATAATTTAGGAAATACGTGGTAAAAATGAAGAAGACTCTGGTTCATATGAATGTCGTGCTGAAAATGTCGCTGGAACAGATTCAAGATTTTATCAAGTCACTGTGTTAAGTAAGTCAATATAAAGTTTATAATTGAAAATTCATTCCTTCACATGGTGGATAATAAATTTTTATATGAGTAATGAGTATACGAAATTGTATGAAAAAGGGGTTTGGAGAGAACTTGAAAATAGTTGTTTAAACAAGAACGAAAAAGTATAGGTTAGGGCTTCGTTAATATGTTAAGCAAAAGTTATTTCTCATATTTTCTATCGTATATTTTGAAATCAAGAATCGATCAATGTTAGACCAACATTAGAAACCTGGAAGCACTGAAAGACGGCCATTTTGTCCTAGTATGGGACTCAACTGCAGTGCACATTCATGACTCTGGCTGTGCTAGTGACTAGCCTCGTGGAGAAGTTTCTCCGAGTTCTAGTGAGAAGTTGTGACCAATGGGGTCCAACACTGATCTAGTGTGAAGCAGTGTTCACCGATGACAATGGATGAGGTTGCGCAAGACCATGGAGTGATTGAAGTTAGACATTAACACCATTGCCTGCCGGCCTCGTGGCCAACAGGTTAAGCGTTTACGCAGGAGAAAATAAGTCGCAGTTTTTATTCACGCGAGTGGTGGTGGTCGTGAATGGGCAATGCTGATGAGTCTCATGCTAGAAGGAGACGATCGTCCAGTGCTTCCAGGTTTCTAATGATTGCCTAAAACTGATTAATTCATGATTTAAATGAAATTTCAGTATGTACCAGATTGTTCTCACTGGATGATCATCACGGTTTTTAGAAGTAACAATCATGTACCATTTCTAAGATATTTAGAACATGGTATTACATCAAGAAAGACTCTTATCTCGTAGTACATAGCTTAGCTCCGTACGTAGTGTGTTATTTTAATGATTAGTTCTACTAACAGAGATTGAGAAAGTTTGTGTTAGTATGTTCATCCAATATCCTAAGAGGATTATTGGTCGATTCCTATTGGTCAATTTCTACTGGTCAAATTTATGGTTATCCTGACTGTCAATGTCACTTCAAATGTTACTTCCTATTGGTCGTCTTAAGTGTCAATGTCACAGACTTCGATGCTGTTTCTCATTCGACCAAAATGTATAAATACTCATTATCTGTAACGTTTTATGACCAGAACCAGGACCCGGTCCCGGATCCCTAGTCCGGGATCCTGATTCTCTTCTGGATTCGGACCTCGTACTTTCTGAATGCTTGTAGAATACAAGTTCTACTTCATATCATGTCTTCTTATTTTTATACAATATGGGGGTTGGAATAATCGGATTTGAGTAGCATGTCATGTCGCCGGATCCTCGATCCTCGCTCTCGTTTTCCGACTAAGTTAAACGCGTAATAGTTCAATCATATCAAGTTGACGTGTTTACGTGCAGGCATAACAGTTTGTTTGAGTATTTACTCCAAAGATGTGATGGATATTTAGAGTTAGACAACGTTTTTGTCTGTAATACTTTTCTAACCGAGAATATCCAAAGCTAAGTTAAACCTCAAGTTAGGAATGAAGAAGATCGCAGATATATAAGTAAAGGATGTTTGGGATATTGAAGAGCGAGTAGTCTAGGCTTGCTAGTTGGTGCACGAAGACACGTTGTACAGCGTACCCCACAGTGATCTAGTGTGGATGCATGACTAAGCAACTTCAGTTAGTGTGTATCCAGTAAAACTGTTTTTTTTTGGGAAAGGGTTATTTACCTCCACCGTTCTTATTCAATAACATTTTTTTATTCAACTAATTCTTCTACCGATTTAATATCCTTTTCTTTTTCTCATTAAAAAAATTCTAGTACCACCTGAAATTACAACCATTGGACAGTCTACTCGTCGTCTTATTCAATCTGGTCATAAATTAGAACTTGAATGTGGTATGACTGGTTATCCAGAACCAAAATTAACATGGTATTGGAATGGTAAACCATTATCCAGCGATAATAATGATCAACAAGAAGAAACAATTGCATCTAGTTTAGGCATGCAAATAATTCATATGAATCCAGAAAGAAAAGATTTATTTATTCAAGAAATGAGTACAGCTTTACAAGGAAAGTAAGTGTATGACTAGAGTAAGGTGATAAGTTTATGCATAAAATTTGTTTTCGATTTGGTTAAGACTATTTGTGTATTTAAAGGATGTGTTGTTGTATTCAAAACACGATCAAGTCATGAAATTGAAATTGGATCAATTTATCAGGCATATCTGTCTTTGGACAAGTGGACTGAGTGAGTCATGTTGGTAGATGTCGACTACCTGGTTGGGGTCCTCGAGACGATAGTCACCAATGGTTAGAGACCTTGAACAACGACATGGCTCAGAATCGTTTGCAATGGCGTAGGTGCATCCACTCTTTGTGTTCGATGAAATTCTAAGCTTCTGAATTCCTCATAATCTCTAACTTTCTGCCTCTATATTTATCTTACTGAATCATACTTCTCGAATCCTTAATCTTCTCCATTACTGCTAATACTTCTATTATTGCTATCACTCTTGGATTTGAACTGATAGTTACGTCTCTGTGTTGATGTGGTATGGCGACCTGAACTGATGTACGTTTGTACGAAGTTGTGCGTTGTATCTGTCTGTCTGTCTGTCTGTCTGTCTGTCTATCACATCTGTCTTGATCACTCATACACGGAAGTCGATCAGTTATTTTATGAAAAGGATTTCTAAACCGAAATTTGAATTAATCGATGATTTCTGTTTGTTTGTCTGATTCCTCTTGGATAATACTTGGTATTGAAAACAATTAGTCCCTTTTATAAATTTTGATAGAACAGTGAGAAGGCGTAATTGATCTGAAAATAGGTGATGTATTTGCGCTATACACAGTTAGAACAATCTGGTCACACATATTTACTTGTCCAGGCCTTTTATATGAAGATGAATAAAAGGTCAGTTATATTTAAAAGCTCAAATAAACATAAGGTGATAATTTTAATTGAAGAAGAGGGAGAAAATTAACGTAATATGAAAAGAATAAGAAAGGGTAGGAAAATTTTCCCATTACCCTAGGCCTTGACAAGTAAATATGTGTGACCAGATTGTTCGAATTGTGTGCAGCGCAAATACATCACCTATTTTCAGATTAATTACGCCTTCTCACTATCTTCTATCAAAAGATACTTGGTATCTCGAATTTCCTCTATTCATAAATTCACATTGAACTCTCTCCAAAAGGTAGTGATGTTTATAATTTACAACGAACAGGCTTTTAGTTGTCCTTGTACTGTATTCCCGTGATGATATGTAATGAGAGTAGAAGCTACTGGTTAGAAAGTCATGGATACACGTGCCACATCTTTATGACTCTGCATGGTAGCGGTTTGAGTCTTCATATTCTGAATTTGGTTGACAGATAATTGGTTGAATTTACAAACACTTTCGAAACAATACTGTATCCGTACAGTCTCAAATTATATCATTTTAAAAGGAACTAATCATGTGGTCTGGCTCAGTGGTTTAGAGGTTAGGTGTTCACACGCGAAACCGAAGTTCCTTGGTTCGATTCCCCCTCACGAGGTCGTGGATAAACGCTGCTGATATGTTCCATAATAGATTGGAACGGTCGGCTAGTACTTCCAGGTTTCTAATGACGGTCTAACATTGATTATCGGTCCATTATTTCAATGGTTGTAACCCAGGAGACTTTTGATTTTATGACCAACTAGTTTTGTGTTGTCATTTAATTTTGCATTTTTAATATTCTTTTATTTAGTTATACTTGTAAAGGAATGAATAAAGGTGGTACCACTGATTTAACTTATGAAGTTATTTTACTTGGTATGTTTTCTTTTGGTAGTTGTAAATGTTTAACATATAACAGTGTGTAAAACACTACTATTGCTACTACTACTACTATTACTCACACTACTACTACTACTACTACTACTACTACTACTTCTGCTAATACTCACACTACAACTACTACTACTACAGTGGTATGTGCTACTTATACGAACGATATAAGTAGTATAAGAAGGGACGTGAAGGAAGACGTCTCACGGTCAGAAGAGGAAAACGGAAAGCAAATAGAGCGAAAGCAAGAAATAAATAGAGCACCGACAGGAAGTAAAGGAAGCAACAGCAGGAATGGAAGAAGGCTGGAGCGTTGGAAGTCAGGACTCAAAGACGGTGTGCAAATAGAGTGTTCAATGTAATGTTTTCGTTTTTAATTGACTAAGAGTGTAAATTTGCCAAATACAATCTATCGAGCCTGCCTCAGTCTTCTCACTACTACTACTGCTCACACTACTACTCTCACTACTACTACTTCGTAAAGGTATTAACAACAGTCCACTAATGGTGTAGTTTATTTTTATTATGAATATCCTCGTTAATCGTAAAGTGAATGTGTTAATGATATTTATATTCATTTACTAAGTTGTTATGCTTGTCAATTGATATGCTTCAATGCTATCAAGAGTTCACCTTGGTTGGTAAACGAGAGCGAAGACGAATGATCCAGTAACACGATAGGCTACTCTAATACGAGCGTTCCAAGGCCCCACTAAGTAGAGGAAGAAGTCTTGACAAGACATAGAAAGTGTATTCTACAAGCACCCAGGAAATCTAGGTTGTTCACAAGCACACAAAACCGAGTTGATTTATACATGACACAAACGTCCTTGTGAGAGAGCCACAAAAATAGCTTACTAAAATACTACATCAAGCAATGACAGTCAAGGATTTTCCGAGTGGGAAATGTACTCTCAATGACAACTGATCAGCCCATTCTCGAAAACATCAAATCCAAAATTAGGATCTTCATCAAGTGATTTCCTGGGATCTAACTTCCCCAACATAAGTGGAAATAATCTTTGATACTACAAGTTTTTAGGGAGTTACTAGCAAGGTTTTTTCACCTATAAACAAATAACTGTTCAACATTTCTTGTTATTTATAAGATTTTCAGTTGCTGTCATTTTATCAAACTAACATATTTATTCTTTATGGCTGTGTTTATGTCCGGTAATAGTAGATTACTAATTCTCGATCATAGATGTCTCCGAAGCATTACTCGTATATGCTGGGACTATCCACCAAGCAATGCTGTCGTTAGGAAACGAGTATTAGGTAAGAAATGGCAGGTCACTAGATGAAGTATTGCAAGTGATTGGGATATGTGTTACAAATGTCCAACCATTGACTACTGCCTTGGCGAGCTATATTTTATGGTGCAGGTGTAGTGATCAAAAGGTGCACTAGAAACTCAGTACATGAGCTGTAATAGCTAAAAATATGAAGTTAGAAAAAAATCATGAGATTCAAAGTGAAGCGCTTAGAATGATTCAACTTTCAATGCATTTTATAATGTTGTATTATGTCTTTTTTTTTTGATTGTTCCTAGAAAAACCACGAATTGATAGTTTAAATGAAAAAGCTGTTGTATTTGTTAATAATACTATTACATTGACATGTGAAGCAACAGGTAGTCCATCACCAAATATTACATGGTTATTTAAAGGAAAACCACTTGATTTAGACAATGATTCAGGATATCGGTAAGTGAATCATATTTTCATTTTGACTGTTGAGTTGTTACCTTACTTACTTACTCATGCTTGTTAACTCTCTCTCAATAGAGCATAGGCTGCCGACCAACATTCTCCAACCTACTGTCTGTCTAGGGCCTTCCATTCCAGTTCTGTACAATTTTCGTTCATTCTTCTCATGCCTGCCACTACTTATCAGCGTAATGTGTCTTTTGGTCTTCTTCTTCTCCTTTGACCTCGACGGTTATTAGTGAGGGCTTGCGTCATGACATAATTCGAGTGCTTTCCTCAATGTGTGTCCTATCCACTTCCAGCGCTTCTTCCTAATTTCTTCCTCCATTGGAATGTGGTTTGTTCTCTGTTACTGTTGACTAGAGAGTTTCATATGTTTTCAAGTAGAATAACTCTCAAGAAAATGAGTTAAGTAAGTTTTATCGGGATGCGGTTTTCCCCCTCGAAATGCAAAATGTTGCTTCAAGACTGGGTTGCACCGGCACCTGAACTAGTGATAAGAAGTGAAGTAGTCGAGCGTGTTGATCGCTTCACTTATCTGGGGAGTCTCATCAGCGCTGATAGCCTGGTGACTGACGAAATCTCAGCTCGGATACAGAAAGCTCGATTGGCTTTTGCCAACCTGCGTCACTTATGGAGTAGGCGTGATATCCGGGTGTACTGAGCAGCAGTTCGCTCCGTTCTCCTATAAGGATGCGAAACATGGCCGTTAAGAGTAGAAGATGTTCTTAGGTTAATAATATTCGATCATAGATGTTTAAGAAGCATTGGTCGTATATCGTGGGACACCCGAGTGAGCAACGCTGTTATTAGGAAACGTGTGCTAGGTAAGAATGGCAGATCAATAGATGAATTGGTGAAACTTCATCAGTTGAGGTAGTTGGGACATGTTTTACGTATGGCTAACCACCGACTGCCTCGACGAGCTATGTTTTGTGGTGTAGGAGTAGATGGGAAGAAAGCTAGAGGCGGCCAGACCAAAACATGGGAGAAATCCATGAAGTCACTGACTAGTGGACTGAGTGATGTTGGGAGATGTAGGGTACCTGGTTGGGATCCGCGAGACGATAGTCACCAATGGTTAGAGACATTGAACGACATGGCTCAAAATCGTTTGCAATGGCACAAGTGCATCTATTCTTTGAGCCCTCTCAAATCCTTATCTTCTGGAATCGTCAGCACCGCTACCTTTGTCTTTCTAACCTTATCTCACTGAATTATATTTCTTGAATAATATTTTCAAACCGTAGTCTTCTTCATTTCTATTAATACTTCTACTATCTCTATCACTATGGTATTTGATTTGACATTTGCTTCTCTGTGCTAATGTGGTATGGCAGCCTGAACTTATGTACATACGTACGAAGTTCTACGTTGCAACTGACTGACTGACTATCGGTTGGAAATTGTTTACTGGATGAAGAGTTTCGTATAAGTTTCATAAGGAAATCGACATGAAATATTAAACTATCAGATAGTGTATGATACTCCTATGTGAATTGAATTAAAAATGGATTTGTAATCTAGTGAATTTCAATGATCATATATTAATTATAACTTTGTAATGAAAATAAATGGTCATTCATTAGCGAACCTGTTTAACTGAATACATTTTCTGTGAAAATTTTATATTTGAAATAATCTCAATAATTGAAATTTTAGATACATTTCCAATGTTTCGTCGTCTAGCTATCTTATTTGGACTTTTACAGAGTAGTCAATGTAAAATTTTAATTGATAAGATTATTTCATATATATAATTTTCACAAATAACAACGTATTTTATATACTTACTGATTTAGTTATTTGCTCAAGTGACCCTGAGTAGAGTATAGGCTGATGACCAGCGTTCTCTAACCTACTCTGTCTTCTACTACTTCCCAATTCTATCCGATTGCTGTTCATTTTCTTTCCATGACTATTTGCACTTCTTGGTGTAATGTGTTCTTTAGTCTTCCTCTTTTTCCTTGACCTTGAGACTTCCAAGCGAGGGCTTGTTTTGTGATACAGTTGGATGGTTTCCATAATGTATGTCCTATCAACCTTCAACGCTTTTTCATCATAATTTCTTCTTCCACTGCGATCTGATTCGTTGTCTCCTTTAGTAGGTTATTTCTGATCGTGTCTGGCCAACGGATCCGAAGTGTTTGTGTAAGCAACTGTTAATAAACACTTGTATCTTGTGAATGATGGCTATGTTGGCTGTCTCGACGCTCGAATAGAAAAATCTGATTTCGTTGTTGGTTAGCAAATGTTCTTCAGTTGTGGAAACACTGTCTTTGTTTTACCAATCCGAATTTTCGCAACAGCGTCATATCTACCGTGTTTATCAATAATTCTGGTCAGATATGTAAATGTTTCCACATCTTCCAAAGTTTCTCCGTCAAGTGTGATTGGGTTGGTGCATGTTGTGTAGTTTTGAAGGATATATTCTAGGCAAGAATGTATTCTATGTACTCGGAGGAAAATTTCTGTCAAGCTATTCCTTCAAATGTTTAAGTCAGTATTGATTGCTGCAGTCTATTTTGAGTCCGGAAATGCCTAGTTTTTAATAACTCATATATTGTACTAATTGTATTCTTCCTCTCTGTTGTTCTAAGCCTTTATGGTTGTTTTTAGTAATAAAAAAATCTACAGTGTTAGTGTTGAAATATGCTATTTTTGTAATTAAGTAGTTTCAAACGAGATTACAATGAATATAATTTCACGACCCTAAATTTATCTGAAAATCAGTAACAATCTTTATTAGAAGTATTGTCTATAAAATGGAATATTTCAAATGAATTTCCAGTCAGCTGTTGTTATCAAGTAGATTGGCCATTTTCATAACCTTGGGTAATTTATGAGCAAAAACTCTTTAGCAGTTTAGAAATATTGAAATCGTGAATGCATCGATGCAAACTAAGTGATCAAGAGATCAAGGGTTCGCTCAGAGGTACGAAGGTCTTGGGTTCGATTAACGCATGTGGGTGTTATGGATGCGTACAGTTGCTTAGTCTCATACTAGAAGGAAACAGCCGCTCAGTGCTGCCATGTTCCTAAAGATGGTCAAACATTGATTGATTCATGATTCTAATCAAACTCAATAATCTCTACCACTCTATAATTGCAATATCAAATAGATCACTTGCTGACTATTGAAATCACAGCTAACCTTAATTCATTAATTGATTAGTTTCACCTCTTATATACTTACTTAATTACTAACTCCTGTTATCCCCAATGGAGCATAGGCCACCCACCAGTTTTCTCCAACCAACTCTGCCCTGGGTTTCCCTCTCCAATTCTGTCCAATATTTGTTCATTTCTCTCATATCTTTCTCTATTTCTCGGCGTAATGTGTTCCTTGGCCTTCCTCTTTTCCTTTTGCCTTGAGGGTTCCATGTGAGGGCTCGTCTCATGACGCAGTTAGGTGCTTTCCACACTGTGTGTCCTATCCACTTCCACCGCTTCTTCCTGATTTCTTCCTCCACTGGAATCTGGTTTGTTCTCTCCCACAATTCGTTGTTGCTGATTGTGTCTGGCCAACGAATCCGAAGTATTTAGCGTAGACAACTGTTAATAAACACTTGTATCTTCTGAATGATGGCTTTCGTAGTTCTCCAAATTTCCGCTCCATACAGTAGAACTGTCTTGACATTTGTATTGAAAATCATGATTTTGCTTTTGTTTGAAAGTTGTTTGGAGTTCCAGATATTTTTCAACTGTAGAAATGCAGCCTTCGCTTTGCCAATCCGTGCCCTCACATCTGCATCGAATCCACCTTGATTGTCGATGATGCTGCCAAGATATGTAAATATGTCAACATCCTCCAAGGCATCTCGATCAAGAGTGATTTGGTTGGTGCACGTTGTGTTGCATCGGAGAATTTTGCTTTTTCCTTTATGTATGTTGAGACCTACTGCTGCAGAGGATGCTTCTACACTGATTGTCTTCGCTTGCATTTGTTGTTGCGTGTGCAATAGAAGAGCCAGATCATCTGCGAAATCCAGATCGTCCAGCTGCATCCTAGCTGTCCACTGAATACCGTGCTTCCCTCCTGATTCTGACGTGTTCATAATCCAGTCGATGACCAGGAGAAAGAGAAAGGGTGAGAGTAAGCAATCTTGCCTGACACCGGTCTTCACCTAGAACGAGTCTGTTAGCTGTCCTTTGTCTACGATTTTACAGTTTCACCTCTTATATAACATGTAAATACTTTTAGAAATCATGAATAATTAACAGAACATTTATTAATTATCATTGGTAAATTTATTTGAATTAATAAATATTTACCTAACTATAATTACTTTACTAAAAATTTTAATAATTTCTTACTGTTATTTTCTTCAATTTTAGCCTTGTTGGTCCAAAAAATTTAATGCTTCTATCAGCAAAACCTTATCAAGGTGGTGAGTATGAATGTATTGCAGAAAATGAGGCAGGAATAGCTCAAGCATTAACTATTTTAACTGTTTTTGGTAAGTCATACTCAATTTAGAAAATAATCACGTTTTCAGTGAATAAGTAGTCATGAACCAGCCACTTTTGAAAACCTGAAAGCATTAGTGGACCACTTCCTCGCATTATATGATTTCTCACTAATGCAGATTGACTGACTGACTTTCGAATTCGCCGTCCAGTGTATTCAGGTTTTCAATGGTGGTCTAACAGTGACTAGTTCATGGTTTCAATGCTATTCAACAATTTTTACTACTCAATAATGTTCAGTAGTTAAATTATTTTTGTTAAATTTTTATCGCATTTGAAACGGGTTGAAATGTAGATTTTAATCACTTGTCCAGCATTGAGAATAATAACTCAACTGTTTTTAAGTTGTTATAACATAGCTTTATAAAGTATATTTCTGAAATGGGAAAATCACGTCATGAAACTATGATTGTATTCTGAAATCAGTGGTATATTCTACTCACAACGTGAGTCCCAAGTAGTATGAAACTAACTGTCGTCGTTACTGACTGAGAGAATGGTGTCACATAGGAATGTTGGGGAATGTTAGATTCCCAGAACTCACTTGATAAAGGTCCTAATTTTTGGTTTCATGTTTTCGTGCAAGGGCTGATCAGTTGACCTTGAGTGTACATTTCCCACTCGGAAAGTCCTTCACTGTCATTGGTTGGTGGATTATTTTAGTAAGCTATTTTTGTGGCTCTCTCACAAGGACGTTTCTATCATGTATAAATAAATTCGATTGTGTGTGCTTATGAACCTCATATTTTCTGGGTGCCTGTAGAATACACTTTCCATCAAGACTTCTTCCTCTACTTAGTGGGGCCTTGGTATGCTCGGATTAGAGTAGCCTATCGTGTCACTTGATCATTTTACCTCTATATCTTTTGCCGACTAAAATGAACTAGTGATAGCATTCAAGCATATCAACTGACGAGCATAACAAGGAGTACATGGTGTGATAAAAGTGTTTTGAGGACTAGAATAAATGTTATGGGGAAACAGTCAATGATCTGCTTGTTTCTCAAATGGAAGTCTTAACATATGGTGTACACATTTTATTATTAAAATATATTTTCTTCAAGTATATCAATTATTTCATCTGATCTTATTTTCGAAAAAATACTCGAACTAATAAAAATCAGAATACATGTATATATACATACTAACCCACTTACTTTCGCCTGTTACCCCAAGTACAGCATAGGCCACAGACCAGCATTCTTCAATCTACTATGTTCCCAGCCTTCCTTTCTCGTTCACGCCAATTGTTGTTCATTCATTCATTCATGTGTCCTATGACCTTGAGGATTCCAAAAGTAGGCTTATCGTGTGACGAAGTTGGGTGTTTTTTACAATGTGTATCTCATCCTTTTGTAGCGCTTTTTCCTGATTTCTTCCTCAGCTGGAATTTGGTTTGATTTCTCCCACTGTAGGTTGTATTTCCAAAGGATCCGGAGTATTTCGTGTAAACGACTGGATGATGGCTTTGAAAATTTTCCTTGGCCTTCCTCTTTTCTTTTTGCCTTGAGGGTTCCATGTGAGGGCTTGTCACGTGGCGTAGTGTCTGTCCTATCCACTTCCACCGCTTCTTCCTGATTTCTTCCTCAGCTGGAATCTGGTTGGTTCTCTCCCACAGTAGGTTGTTACTGATAGTGTCTGGCTAACGGATTCGAAGTAGTAGTTTGTGTAGACAACTGTTAAAAAAATATTTGTAACTTCTGGATGATGGCTTTGACAATTTTCCAAATTTTTGCCCCATTAAATCACATAAAGACCTATGTTATTTATGTGAACTAGTTAGGAAATTTTTAAAAGCTAATAAACCTAATAAGAATCTATCATATATTTCATATTTGACTGTTATCATGCCATGTCGGTTATTATTAGGCTTCTGCTATTTCGTTAAATTTTTTCTCACAGTTTAACTGAATGTCTATTTTTTCAAATCATGAATTTTTTTCGTCTTTTTTTCTTTACTACTTAAATGTAATTTTTTTTCGTCTATAAAGAACCAACTGGTGAAAGAAATATGGCACAAAATCTTACAATTCGTACAATAAAAATGGGTGGAAATATAACATTCACATGTGTAATGAGTTCAAATCCACCAGCACAAATTAAATGGTTTAAAGATGAAGAAGATATTTATAGTGTTATGCCACAAGGTAAAAAAACAAAAAATTAGAATTCATTTTTTTCAGTACATTATATTTAATATGATGTATATATTGATAATTTAATTTTAATGAAACTCAATAATCTTCACAACTGAATAGTGCAAAATCATGAGAGAATGTGCTGACTAATTACTAGGTTTGTAAGGAAATTCTCAAGTTCCAAGTAAGAAGCGGTGACTAGAGGTGTTCAATCATATCAGGGCTGTGAGACAGTTACCTAGTGAAGACAATGGGTGAGATTACGCAAGACTGTGGGTTGACCAGAGTTAGACATTAACGCCATTGGATGCTGACTTAGTGGTTTAAAGGATATTTGTGGCCAGAGATTTGATTTCACTTCAGACGAATGATCGGGTGAGTTGTTACAAGTTAAGCGTTAGCATGCTTACTCTCACCCTTTCTCTTTCTCCTGGTCATTGACTGGATTATGAAGACTTCGACATCTGGAGGGAAGCACGGTATCAAATCGACAACCAAGACGCAGCTGGACTATCTGGAATTCGCAGATGACCTGGCTCTTCTATCACACACGCAACAACAAATGCAAGAGAAGACGACCAGTGTAGCAGCAGCTCCAGCAGCAGTAGGTCTCAACATACATAAAGGAAAAAGCGAAATTCTCCAATGCAACACAACATGCACCAACCAAATCACTCTTGATGGAGATGCCTTGGAGGACATTAACACCTTCACATATCTTGGCAGCATCATCGACAACCAAGGTGGATCCGATGCAGATGCGAGGGCACGGACTGGCAAAGCGAAGGCTGCATTTCTACAGTTGAAAAATATCTGGAACTCCAAACAACTTTCAACAAAAACCAAAGTCAGGATTTTCAATACCAATGTCAAGACAGTTCTACTGTATGGAGCGGAAACATGGAGAACTACGAAAGCCATCATCCAGAAGATACAAGTGTTTATGAACAGTTGTCTACGCAAAATACTTCGGATTCGTTGGCCAGACACTATCATCAACAACGTACTGTGGGAGAGAACAAACCATATTCCAGTGGAGGAGGAAATCAGGAAGAAGAGGTGGAAGTGAATAGGACACACATTGCGGGAAGCACCTAACTGATGCACCTAACGCCGAGAAATAGAGAAAGATATGAGAGGAATGAACGCGCATTGGACAGAACTGGATAGGGAATCCCAGGACAGAGTTGGTTGGAGAAAACTGGTGTGCGGCCTATGCTCCATTGGGGGCTAACAGGCGAAAGTAATTAAAGTAAGTAAAGTAATGCACGGTCGAAGTTTCTTAGTTCACTTTATGAGAGTGCTGCACGTGGTATACACTGCTGATGAGTCACATACTAGGACAAAACAATTTTACAGTGCTTGCAGGTTCCCAGTGGTGGTCTGACCATGATCGATTCATTATTTCAATGAAATTTAACTTCAACGTAATTGTCTATATATTGTTAATAATAATCACTTTATTCCACATAGTAAGTTATGCTAAAGTACAGATTTTGCATAGAAAATTATTCAATGCAGCAGTGCATTCAAATTGCAAAAAATGAAAAAAAGACGGTTAATTTCAATATTTGAATCGTTTCAAAATAAACTTTCTAGGAATTTGATGAGGTTGTGTTTTTTTATTTATTACAAAGTTAAAGTGATTACAAAAGCAAGTCTAAGTTTATTTTGGATTCAAACACATGTTTGAATTGGTGATGCCTTTTGTTGTGGAGCAGGTAGGAGTAAGTAGACTCTACTGCAAGTTTTTCTAAGGTTATGGCTGGTGTCGAGCTAGGATAAATGAGGCGGATTAGGCATGGGGTTAGCACCTCCATCCCGTAGTAAACAACCATGCTAATGCTAACCTGATAAATAAAACTACCTTTTATTTCTTCAATATCCAATTATCCTTTTATTGATAAGAAATCAATTTCCATCAACTGATTTGGTGTTATGTAAATAAATCCAACTTAGTTTGTCTTTTATATGGTCACAACATGAGACTTTATAGAATTCCTATCATTAATAAGTCGAAAATTAGATGAATAATATTTAAATTGTCAGCAACAGATCAACACGTCATTAAATAATGTGGTGTATACTACTCACAAGTAGTATACAGAGTAGTGTGACTAAGAAATTACTACTGAAAAGAACAAATTCGTATCCGAATGTATGGCACAATAAAAGTGATTTGAGGACTAGAAGACATGAGACGGGTGGGTGTACACATAACTAATTATGATCTTTTTTAATTAGTAAAGTCTATTTTTTATTGTTTTGTATAAAATTCAACATTATTAAAATGTTTGAAATCATCAATCAATCATTGTTAGACCACCATTAGAAACCTGGGAGCACTGGATGGCCGTTTCGTCCTGGTATGGGACTGGGACTCATCAGCAGTACGCATCCACGACTCGCGCAAAATCCCCAGATCAATCAGAGTTAGACATTAGCACCGTTGGATGCCGGCCCGGTGGTTCAATGGTTAGGCGTTCGCGCACAATATCGAAGGTCCCGGGTTCGAATCCTGCGAGGAGAAGGAGTCGTGGGTGCCCACTGCTGATGAGTCCCATACCAGGACGAAACGGCCATCCAGTGCTTCCAGGTTTCTAATGGTGGTCTAACAATGATTGATTGATGATTTCAAATGTGTAAAAACACAAACCTCCAAAAACTCTGCCCCAAAATTATTGAAATGACACTTTTCAAACTTTTGTGCTTAATAATTAAAACAAAAAAATAACACTTCGAACTTATCTTTTTTCTTTCTAGATCGTTTTTCAGTTAGTTCTGATGGTTCAGCTTTAACCATTTTCAATGTACGTCTGGAAGATCAAGGTCAATTTAAATGTTTGGCGGTTAATATACCTGGATCTTGGAATTATCATTATACATTAGAAGTAACATGTAAGTGAAAGTCAATTAGTCCCTCTTAGAAATTATGATAGAACACTATGAGAAGATGTAGTTGATTTGTAAATAGGTGATGTATTTAAGCTACACATATTTTGAAAGATCTAGTTACACACATACTCTAGTCAAGTCATTTTATATAAAAATCAATAAAAGGGCAATTCAATAAAGGTTCACGTTGTAAATGATGGAGTGGGAAAATTATCGTAATATAGAAAGATTAAGAAAGGGTAGGAAATTGTCCGTCCATTCAATCGCTCAAAGATTACCAGAGTATAAATTCAAGGTTATAACAAACTGTTTCTGTACACGTAAGAGGGGGGTTTTCATCGACGAATAGCCAAGGCTTCCATAAACCTCGAAATTCGTCCTTCAACGTTTCTATACGATGTTTTAAAGGTAGTTTCGGTGTGAATCTTATGCTCCATCTGAATTATCTTTATATGGTATATGTCGAAAATTTGTTGAGTGAGGCCCTCAATAAGGTTACTCTGTACAGGAGATATATGGATGAAATTTTTAGTTATATGCAATAAAGAATTCCATGTCTCTCAGTTACTGAATAATTTCAATGGTCTTCAGAATGACATTGTCTTAACCCACGAAGTAGAAAGTAATAACGAATTACCCTTTTTAGACACAATGCTGAGTCGAAGGGAGAATGAAATTATAAAGTGTTCAGTTTATAGAAAGCCAATCTGAACTGGACAGTATTTACGGTTCAGTAGTTTTTGTGTTTTGCAACACAAGCGAAGCTTGGTTAAGTACCTCTTCAATGGGGCTCAAAGGATTTGAACCACGGGTACATTTGAAGACGATGAGAGATTCTTGACTGAAATAGTGATTTCAAACGGTTTTCCACTGAAATTTTGTTATTGGGTGTAAAGACAAAGTTTAAACAACAGACTCTCTTTTATTTTGTGGAAAAGAAAAATGTTTATATCACTTTACCATTTAAAGGTGAATCAAACGGTTTAATCTTAAGATAGCGACTAAAAGCAGCCATCAAGAAAACATACTATACTGCTAAACTGATTAAAATTGAGAATACTAAGCTCATGATTCCTCATAGGCCTAAACATTGATAGAATGATCACACCACATCCCATTGCATTTATCAATTTACATGTTCGTGTGGACACACATACATAGGGCCTCGTGTGCTGTTATTTGTATGAGGGCAGATGTCATTTCACGGCTCCCCACACCGTGGAAGTATGTTTCTTGAGGAACCTGAAAAGGAAGGTAGATTAGTGTTGGTCTAAAAGACCTGATAACTTGACCTCAGAACCCAAGGGATAAATAAAGAGGCCGGTTACACACGACATTTGTATGAGAAGCTTTTAAAGTTTTGTCTGCACTCTTTTTAAAAGGTCTTACGGAGACAGAAATCCGCGAATCGGGGTGAGGTTTGACATTTCTAGGGTCGACCTTTTCTAACCTTTCCTTCCTTGTGAGAAGGCAGCATCGCTGCAGATTCTGGTTGTCCGAGGGAAACACCTTATTGTTATCACACCTCTCTGCAGTCAGCAGTACGACTTCGCCCTCAGACTTTGAGTTGATGCTTTTCAACTCACCGTTCTCCAATCGACCTTCGTGGCATTGTAGAACCTACAGAAACATATGTTCTAGCCGATATAGCTCGGTTGGGTCATCATGATAGGCAACCTCGACCACCATGTCAAGGAAGCAGCTACGGTCGAGCCTCTAACATACATAGGGAGGAGAAATCGGACTTTGTAATCGATATTTATGCAACATGTGCGTAAGTGGCTTCGAAATCAGTTAACCCAATAAATGTGGGAAACTGAAAATCATGTTTATCCATTGCGAAACACTTAACTGAGACAGGGCATAAGACAGATATTAATACCTCCTTAGTTAAACTCATTTACACAGACGCGTCTATGATTTTTTTCTTAAATATTATCTGACGCTGAAAATAGAACAAAATGAAGTGGATGTTTTGTTTTAGAATACTATTTTACATTATCGAAGAAATGCTGTATTAAATTTTGTAATGAAAATGATATTTCAGTGTGTTTCACCTTTCATAGGTGATATAACTTTTCATCTTGGAGATTTTTTTGCACAAGAATTAAACAAGTTTTTGATAATTATAAAACATTATATTTCATGCAATCATTCATTTATTTCCCACAGCATCTCCTGGTATACTGAGACGTTCTTCATCACCATCCAGAGTGAATATAAATGATGGACAAGAATTACGTTTACAATGTTTAGCTACAGCTAATCCAGAACCAATTTATCAATGGTTTAAAGATGATACACCAATAAATTTACAACTTTTAACAATGTCATCATCATCATCATCAATGGAGGGTAATGATTTTTCACGTATAACCGAGATGACAAATTCAACTAGTCGTTATGAATTACATGATCAAGGCCGACTACTTTTAATACGTGGTATTCAAACACATGATGCTGGAAAATTTACATGTTTAGCTAGTAATCCAGTTGGTGAAGATAGATTAGATATAGAAGTTCAAGTATCATGTAAGTCATTTGAAAATGAGTTGATTCTATTGATGCCTGCTTTCAATACTGGGCGTAATGATCTTGTTCTCTTTTTATGGTCGTGAGGATTCCAAGTGGGGATGCATTTGGGTGTGTCCTATCGATCTTCAACTCTTTTGACTAATTTCTTTCTCATCTGGTGGAAATAGGTTTGTTCACTTCCATAATAGGTTGTGTTACGCCTACACGTAAACACGTCAACTTCATATACTTGAACTATTACGAGTTTACCTGGTCGGAAAACGAGAGTGAGGATCTGGCGACACGACATACTACTCAAATCCGATTATCCGAACCCCCATATTTAGTGAAAATACGAAGACTTGATATGAAGTAGAACCTGTATTCTATAAGCATCCAGAAAGTACGAGGTCCGAGTCCAGAAGAGAATCAGAATCTCAGACTAGGGTTCCGGGACCAGGTCCTGGTCGTGGTCATAAAACGTTACAGATAATGCGTATTTATACATTTTGGTCGAATGAGAAACAGTATAGAGGTCTGTGACATTGACAGTTAAGACGATCAATGGGAAGTAACATTTGAAGTGACATTGATAGTCAGGACAACCATAAAATTGACCAGTAGGAATTAACCAATAGGAATTGACCAATAATTTTCTTAGGATATTGGACGAATATCCTAACAGGTTGGGACTGATGGTGTCTGGCCATCGGATCTTCAGTATCTAGTTCAGACAACTTCTAATGAACACCTTTGTCTTGTAGATGATGACCTTCGTAGTTTTCCAAATATCCGCCCCATACAGTAGAACTGTCTTGACATTTCGATTGAAAATTTTAACTTTGGTGGTGGTTGATAGTTTTTCTAAGTTCCAGACATTCTTCGACTGTAGAAATTTTGCCCATGCTCTACCAATCCATGCCTTCACATCTGCATTAGATCCATATTGCTCACCAATGATGTTGTCCAGATATGTAAAGGTTCCAACATCCTCCAAAGTTTCTCCAAAAAGTGTGATGTGGTTAGTGCATGTTGTGTTCTATCGAAGGGTGTTGCTTTTTCCGTTGTGCATGTTGAGGCCTAATGGTTCAGAGGCTACTGCCACAATGGCCGGTTAATGTTAGAATACTATTGAGAACCTGAATTTACAATATTCGCTATATTTCTTGGATCTATAAGTTTAGAAATTAACGCTGTTGGATGCCAACATAGTAATCAAGAGATCATGCGTTCGCGCGCGAGAAATAAGTTCCAGGGTTCGATTCCCGCTTGTTGGTGTTGTGGATGCGTACTGTTAATCAGTTTCATACTAAAATGAGACGGCTGTTCAGTGATCAACTGAATATCTTCAATAAACCTATGGTAACAAAGAGGATTTCGGTCACGAAGGTGATTAATGTTAGAGAACTGAACTACTGACTGGCATTTTTAATCTTCTTATCATTTAGAACGAGTAATGCTACGAAGTTTGTTTCTGATTTATTCTTCAGGAATTATTTTGTTTGAGTTCAGAAATGTTCTTATTAATTGAAGTGACATTGTTTTTTACTTTACTTTTTTACGTTTACTTATGCCTTTTACTCCGAATGCAACAAAAGTCACCGAACAGCCATTCTCCAAACATTTCTGTCCTGGACATTTTTTTACCTATACCATTCATTCTATTCCTGTCTGTCTCTGATTCTTAGCACAGTACGTTTCTTGGTCTACCTCTCTTCCTCTCACCTTAAGGATTCCAAGTTAAGGATTGCCTTATGATGCAGTTGGGTGCTTTTTTACAATGTGTGTCCAATCTACCTTCAGCGCTTTTCCCTAATTTGTTCCTCAGCAGAAAGAATTCAGTTTATTCTATCCACAGTAGGGTTGTTGCTCATAGACTCTGGCCAACGGATCCGTAGTAAAAGAGTGCTTGTCACGAATAATCTATGTTATCGTTTAATGAAATAAAGTCATTCATTTAATTTTCACATTATTTAATCAAGGGATATATATCATCCTATGTATAGTCAAATAGAAATTTGCATTACGGGGTTGTAAAGATTGTTACGTTACACATTTTTGAAACCATGAATCGATCAATGTTAGACCACCATTAGAAACCTGGAGGCACTGGATGGCCGTTTCGTCCTGGTATGGGACTCATCAGCAGTGCGCATCCATGATTCATGTACCTCTCAGTATCCGAACCCAGGACATTCGGTATTGTGCGCGAACGCCTAAACATCGGACCACTTAGCAGGTATCTATCCAGTGCTTCCAGGTTTCTAATGGTGGTCTAACATTGATCGATTCATGGTTTCAAAAATGTGTAACTTAACAATCTTCACAACCCCATAATGCAAATTACCTGTGCTCACTAGTGACTAGCTTTGTGAGGAATCTTCTCCGAGTTCTAGTGGGAAGACGTGACCAGTGAAGTTCAATTTGTTCGGGTGTAAGCAGTGTCTACCGAAGACTGTGTATGAGGTTGCGCAACTCTGTGAATTGATCGAAGTTAGACATTAACACCGTTAGATACCAGCTCAGTGGTCCAGAGATTAAGTGTTCGCACACAAGACCGAAGGTCCTGAGTTCGAATCCTGAGAGGTACATGAGTCATAGACGCGTACTGCTCATGAGTATCATACCAGGACAAAGCGGCCGTCCAGTGCTTCCAGGTTTCTAATGGTGGTCTAACACTGATCGATTCATGGTGTAAAAATGTGTAAATAGAAATTTGTCGTACTATCTAATAAATAGCGACTGTACAAAGAGAAACAGTTGGTTTCGATTATTCGAAATATACAGTTTTTTCAAGGAAAAATTATTTCACTAAACTAAACACATTCCTTTGAATGAATTGGTTTTACGTTCAAATGTCCGCACGCTTAGATATAACCTTTTCGAGATGATTTTGAATATAGTTAGAAGAAAATTATTTAGTGAGAAAAATTAGAAGCCATCCAAAAAATTATCATCAACTCCTTTTTCTAATCATTTAATTTTTAGCTTCTCCAAGATTTCTTGATGGCTTGGATCATGAATCACCAATACTGGAAAGAGGTAAATCACATTATTTATGGTGTAATGTGACTGGACATCCAGAACCTGAAATTCATTGGGAATATGTAAGTGTTACAGTTTTTTTCTTCTGATTATAAAATATACAATTTCCAATCTGTTCATAAACAATGAGTAGGGTTGAATGTACGAATTCCTATGGCTTCTGCTATGTGTAGGAGACGGGATCGAACTCGGTTGGGAAATGATGGTTGAGGTATACGATAGATCACTCGAAAAGATCTAGATTTATCTACAATATGACCACTATCTATCAGGTGTGCTAAGATAGAACTGCGTATTATTTTTGACTGACACTTCTTAAACAATGCTGGAAGATGTTCACTCATTCGTTGTGTAAGTTGCCTGATAATACGCTCCAGCGCATTCATAAGGAAGTATATGGTTGATGTAAAAAAAGAAGTCAGTAATTTCGGCCGTCCGAAAGAAGCTACTATTCATCAAATTACAATTCAACGGAGATGTGGCCTGCGATACTCTGCAGGACAGATTAATGAGAGCAATTAATAGAACATTCAATGCAGCCAAACTTGCGTTGACCTTCTCAAGTCGACCAGTGATGTCTATCCAAACGAAGGATAAGTAACCTGAGTTGGCCTCCTCTATGTGCATTTACAAATTCAGCTGCTCCTGTGGAGATAGCTATATTGGGTGTACTACCAGGCAACTTAACCAACGAATGAGTGAACATCTCCCAGCATGATTTAAGAAGGATCAGTCAAAAATAATACACAGTTCGATCTTAGCACACCTGGTTGATAGTGGTCATATTGTAGATAAGTCTAGATCTTTTTGGGTGATCTGTCGTATACCTCCATCATCATTTCCCAACGGAGTTCGATCCCATCTCCTACACATAGCAGAAAACAATAAGTACACATTAACATGTATATTATCAGTGTAAGTTTCAAATTTAAACATGTCACAAATTCATAAAGTCATTGACAGTTGGACTGAGCCATGTTAGTAGGTGTAGACTACCTGGTCAGGGTCCGTGAGATGATGGTAATTGATGGTTAGAGACTCTGAATGACATGTCTCAAAATCATTCGCAGTAGAGCATCCATGTTTTCATGCTTTGCCTTCTTTCAAATTCTAATCTACTAACTTTCTCTTGACCTTTATTTTCCTTTTTAAAGTTCATTTCACTGGATTTTACTTCTTGAATCATATCTCCGATCCCTAATCTTCCCCATTAGCGTTATTACTCCTACTACATGTACGACTTACTTACTTACGCCTGTTACCCCCAATGGAGCATAGGCCGCTCACCAGGTTTCTCCAACCAACTCTGTCCTGGGCTTCCCTCTCCAGTTCTGTCCAATGTTTTTTCATTGCTCTCATATCTTTGTCTATTTCTCAGCGTAGTGTGTTCCTTGGCCTTCTTCTTTTCCTTTTGCCTTGACGGTTCCATGTGAGGTTTTGTTTTGCGACGCAGTTGGATGATTTTCGTAGTGTGTCCTATCCACGTCCACCGCTTCTCCCTGATTTCCTCCTCCACTGGAATCTGGTTTGTTCTCTCCCACAGTGTGTTGTTGCTGATGGTGTCTGGCCAACGAATACGAAGTACTTTCCGTAGACAACTGTTAATAAAAACTTGTATCTCATGGATGATAGCTTTCGTAGTACATGTACTACTATGGGACTTAAAATTGACAATTCCATCTCTCAGTTCTAATGTGGTATGGTAACTTGAATTAATTTACGTACGTACGTGTGTATATATGTATGTACCAAGTTCCACGTTGTAGCTGACTGACTAACTGATTTAAGTTTCAAGGTGTTGCTAATAAAGGAGAAGAATAAATATATATCAACATTTTCTCATTTGTTAACTGATTTTCTATTATGAGTGACATGATCATGGCGCCAATTGTTACATTAGTTATGTTTTTACCTAAGTAAATATTAACAGACCCACTGACTTTAATAAAGTATCTTTCCACACAATTAGGAAGCCTATAAAAATTCTCACATAGTGAAATCTAAAATCAGGAAAACTAAAAACGTTTGATGAGTAAATATTAGCAAGTTCTTCTATACGCCTAATGTTCAAAATGAATACAATACAAGATAATAAAGGCAGAAGGATTCTAAGGATTCTAATTCTCAGTAGATAGAATAGAATAGAATAGAACAGTTCAAAAGGGGGATGCAATCAAAACAAAGTTGTAATCAACGATAGGTTAAAGGTCAACAGCAACCAATCAAGATCGAGGTTAGCAGAACAAACTACATGTCAGACGTGGAGAAATTCGAAGGCTTCACTTCTATCTGAAGTTTGTGCTGCTGATGATGTTGTTTAGAAGAACAATGAAAGCTCCACAACCAAAACAACCAGCTCAGAGAACGAAACACCACCACAGAATAGAATACAGAACTATGGAATAGATTTATGGTTAAGTAACTTTTGTTTTTAGAGTATTAAAGCATACAGTGACGACTGATTTGTCGAAAACATTTAGCTTTCGGGGATCTACAAGAGAAACTATCAACATACAGTACAATCATCCATCTTTTTTTCATATCTTACTTACTAACATACTTACACTTGTTATCACAAATGGAGCATAGGCAGTCGACCGGCATTAATCCAATCTACTCTATCCTCGGCCTTTCGTTCTAGTTCTACCCACTTATTGTTCAGTCTTTTGATATTTGCTTCCAATTCTCGAGATAATGTACTCATCGGTCTTCCTTCATATGAATAATTCAATGAATCACAAAACATCCAGCTCAGAGAACCAAACACCACCACTACAATCATCCATCTGAGCTACAAATCTTCTTTACCATGAGTGTTGTCAATTATTTATGATTGAAAATGATAAATCACTGCAATTCTGACGACACAAAGTACAGTTACAAAAGACTGATATAAATTCCCTTTTATTGTTTAGAGTGGGGCGAGTCCTCACTTTGTCTCTTAAAATGCTTTCATATGACCACGTATATCTAGCTACTGTAAAGGAAATCCTATTTACTGCCAGTTCTCACCTTTAGGGCGTTGTTTATGATATTGAGAGCAAGAAAAGCGAATCTTTGGTGCTTAAAAGGGATTGGCAGGTATGAAGGATCCACATAGGGGAGTTGGGAAACCTTGGTGCACACCGGCTCTAGGATCTTTAGGGAGAAAAATGGCGTATGAACCTATTGTTCATCAGTAACTACCACGGTACTGCATCTCCTGACAGTGTTCTACTGCTTTGTGGAATACATCTGTAGTTCAACTGCTTGGGTAGTAACGCATAGATATTAAGGTAACCCTTTGTATCATTAATAAAGAGGAAGGCCAAGGAACACATTACGCCGAGAAATAGAAAAAGACATTAGAGGAATGAACAAAAACTGGAAAGAACTAGAAAGGGAAGCCTAGGACAGAGTTGGTTGGAGAAAACTGGTGGGTGGCCTATGCTCCATTGGGGGTAACAGGCGTAAGTAAGTAGTCTGTATCAATAATCATGGGTTTAAATAAAACATTCTACCAGTTCATTCCAAAACACGACAATCCTGTTATACTCGTCAACTGATATGCCTGAAACCATAACGAGTTCATCTTACTCGGTAAACGAGAGTGAAGACAAATGATACAGTGACACGATAGGCTATTCTGATTCGACTGTCCCCGGTCCTGCTTACTATAGTAAGAAGTCTTGATAAGGCGTAGAAAAGTGTATTCTACAAGCACCCAGAAAATATGAGGTTCGACAAGCACACAAATCGAGTTTATTTATACATGATAGAAACGTCCTTAGGAGAGCCACGAAAATAGCGTACTAAAATAATCCACCAACCAATGACAGTCAAGCATTTTCCGGGTGAGAAATGTAATCTCAAGATCAACCGATCAGCCTTTGCACGAAAGCATAAGATCCAAAATTAGGAGTCCTGGGGATCTAACCTCCACAACAATTATCTTTCCTTTTTATCTCATCATGTCCCTCTCTACTGATGAGTAGTCCCATACTAAGACGAAACGTTCGTCTTTCAATGCTTCTAGGTCGAAAAATGATCAATTTATGTGTCCAATTAAAAAATCTCTGAATAATTTTAAAATCAACTACAAATAATCATATTTCTATTGATTTGTTTTCTAAGAAAAAATTTCTGATTAATTTTTTTCCTCGAAATCAAGGATCTCCCAACTACTGGTCCAGGTGATCGTAATATACAACAACGTTTGAATGGGAAACAATTATTTTTACCAAATGTTGACTACGGTATCATAACACGTTATATTTGTATTGGTAAAAATAAAGCCGGTGAAGCAAAACGAATATTTGATCCAACTTTAGTATGTAAGTCATGTGTTGGGATTCAAAAAAAAATTTTCTCGTTTAATTTTTTTTACTACTCAATTAAAAATTTTCAATATAAGTAGTGTAATCGATATTTTGTAAAAAGAATTTTTTCTGAAATTTGTTTTAAAAACGAAAGGTAAATTAAAACTATTGTAATTTGACATTTGACTTTATTATAACGTGATTATTACTTAATATTTTCGAATGAATTGTTTTAGCATCCTTCAAATTCATACATACATATTTGAAATCATCAATCAATCATCGTTAGACCACCATTAGAAACCTGGAAGCACTGAACGGCCGTTTCGTTCTGGTATGGAACCCATCAGTGGTGCGCATCCATGACTCCTGCTCCTCGCAGGATTCGAACCCGGGACCTTTGGCATTGTGGGCGAACGCGTAACCATCGGACCACTAGGGCCGGCATCCAACGGTGTTAATGTCTAACTCTGATTGATCTAGGGATTTTGCTCGACCTCACCCATTTGTCTTTGGTAGTTACTGCCTACACCCGACAGGGTTGAACTCCATCGGTCACGTCTTCTCAACTAGAACTCCGAGAATTTCCTCACGAAGCTGGTCATACATGTTTGATTGTTAAAGAATTTTGATTTAAGCAGAAATAACACGTAGGACGTTTGTTCTCGCGCGAATATCGGTAAATTAATAATGTATTCATGTTGAGAAATGAATGTATTTCATTAGTTTACCAAATACAACAGTGTGATTTTCACACTAAACTTCCTTTCTTAGGGGGGTTTTAAACTGTAAAAACTTGTATTTTTATAAAATAATTTTAAATGATCTTACTTCTACATACTTTTACTTATTAAGTTCAATGTTAAATTGAATTCAAGCTAGCAGGTTATAGTTTACTTGCTTAGGGATCAAATATAAATTGAATTCAAGTATTGCTAGGTGTAAGATCTACTTTTTAAAGGGTTTGTTTATGAAAATCCCTACATGTATACATTTGTAATTCGTTCTTATTGATTCCTTCAGTTGTACATTGTGTCAGTCTGTTCGATTCCATTTCGGAGATGAAAATATTTGTATTTTGTTATAGTTTCTATTTCTTCCACATTTACTGAGTTTCTGTGTTTCTTTCTGAACTGCGTTAATGTTGTTTAAGCTGATACTTAGTCATGGCGACAGCCATATTGATTTGTGCCTCCTTTGATTGGATTGTTTGCTACGGACTGGAATCGTGCCTTTTGATTGTGAATTGAAGCACTCTTCCAGATTAGGAAACACTCTGTGTTATAAAGCGACCGAATATTATCTGTCGAAGGAACCTGATTTATCCAGAAAGGATAGAATAGCAATTATTTGTTTCTGATGATTTGAATGATTGAACAATTGTTGAAGGAATAACTAAGTGGTAATATTTGTTTAAGTAATGATGTATACTTATATTTATGATTAATATTAGAACCGTCATTTGCCCAAATCACTTGTTGTGGTCTCAACTGGGCAAGGCGCGTATTTAAACTGGCTAGCCAGTAGTTATTCCTCAGTCATAAACCCCAGTTTGAATCCTACACTAGGACAAAATAAATTTAAATATACACTGCCAACTGTATGTGTATTTTAATTTAAATAAGAATTTTACATCATCAGTATTCATTATCTTATTGTAAAAATAAGGGACACTCATTAAACACAACAATTCTCATCTAATTTAATTCCAATATGACATATGAATTGATTAGGCCAACCTTTTTCTTAACTCTAGAATAATATGACACCATTTGCGATGGCGCCGTTGCATTTATTCTTTGTGTTCTCTCAAATCCTAATCTTCTGGATTCTTCAACACCTCTAGTTTTGACTTTCTAAACGTTTCTCACTGAATCATACTTCTTGAATAATATCTTCTAATCCTAACCTCTCTGATTACTTCTAATAGCTTTACTACCTCTTCTACCACTGGATTTGAATTGACAATTATATCTCTGTGCTGATGTGGTATGGCAACATGAACTGATGTACTTATGTACAAAGTTCTACGTTGCATCTGACTGACTGACTGACTGATGACACGCTTATTGAAAATGTTCATTTATCTCAGCATGATATAGTTCTAACTGATAGTAATCATAATAAGTGATTTCAAATAAAAAGCGTTCTCTTATCAAGGTTGATAGATCGGTGCGTAGTCACTGATTTCATGTGTATTGAATCATTCTAATTCTGATTGAATTATATCTATCAAATTACAATCTGGCCATTTGTCTAAATGACTTGAAAACCTGTGCATATTTGTTGAGATATGAAGTGATGTTTTGAGGTAATTGACAGGTAACCGTGAAACTATATTTTGTGCTGTTTCGCAGTCATCATCATCATCATCACAGAATTGGTTCCGCATGAAGGACTTGTTCCGATGTCATCTAGCTTCGTAGTTACAAACGTTACTATTAAGCTGTTTGGGCCATGACTAACCTCTTGTAAGATTGACATGTATTTACAATCGATTGATAACTAAGTCAAATGTGACTTCATCATAAATTTTTTTTAAAAATAAAACTTACAAAACAAGAATATTTTGAATTTATAACCTTATGCAACTGAAATCATGAATCGATAAATGAATGGTAAGACCACAATTAGAAACCTGGAAGCAGTGAAAGATGGCCGTTTCGTCATGATATTGGACTGATCAGCAGTGCGCATCCATTAATGTATTTCTTTTGCGTTTCTTACTTCTCTTCAATTATTCAAATATATTTCCATTACAAGAATTTACTCTATTCTATTGTTATTTTGGTTTTTTCTTGCCAACTTCAAATTTATTTGTAAAGATGCCCCAGTCATTATTGGACCAGAAGGTAAAAATCCAAGGCATGTTTTACAAAACTCGAGTACACGATTAGTATGTGATTGGGAAGCATCACCACGAGCTCAGTTGGAATGGTTTAAAGATGGTGAATTAATTACAGAGGACACATTTCCAAATATTAATATTTCTGTTGGTGATACACAGGTGAGAAGATTATTAAGGAAAACTAAGTTTGGTTTGAGAGGTTAATTATTGTTATATAGTTAGTTTATGATACTACTACTACTGCTAATCATACTCCGGCGGTAGGGGCTTTTAAGAAAATAGAATGGAGCTAACACTTTGAAAACTTCTCATAAAAAGACTGTGCATGACCGGCCTCAAACAGTTTACCCTTGTGCTCTGCGGTCACGCTCCCAGGTCTCTAAGACCAACACTAATCTACCTTCCTGCTCAGGTTCCTCAAGATACACTTTTCGACAGCCGGGAAGCGACATCCTCCCTCATACCTGTACCAGCACGCGAGACCAAATCGGTCACAATCAAATCCTTCCTACACGCCGTAATATCTCTCTTATCTCCACGACTAACTCTTCTCACATTCACTTATCTCACTGCAACGCTAATGCAAACGATGCGAGTTCACGAAACGTCATTTCTGGTCGCCTGAAACCTCATTCTAGGCTATATGTTGGAGCTTTTAATGTACGGACATTGTGTCAAATAGGACAACAGGCTTCGTTAGCTAGGACTTTAAAATCTCTCTCAAACGATGTATGCTGCGTCTCGGAATCGCGCATACAGGATCCGAGTAGCATCATTCACTTGACCTCTCCATGTCAAGATAACGAAGCAACTCGTTTCACTCTTCGCTTATCTGGAAGCCCTGATGCTGCTCCCCGAGGTCTCACTGGTGTAGGTATAGCATTGAGTTGTAGGGCAGAACTAGCTCTCCTAGACTGCATCCCAGTAGATAGTTGCTAGTGCGCTGTCCGACTGAACGGGACAGTAAGGACTCGGAAAGATAGGGACACTCACCATTTCCTATTCGTCATATCTGCCTATATTCCCTCTGACTGCATGTAAGATGAGATGAAAGATGAGTTTTACAGAAAGCTTTCGGACCTCATCCAAAACGTCAGGTGCTCTGATATAGTATGGTGGCTGATGACTTCAGTGAGAAACATGGCTGGTAAGAGTAGAAGATATTCGTAGGTTACTGGTTTTCGATCACAGATGTCTTAGAAGCATTGCTCGCGTATAGCGGGAAAACCGAGTTAACAATGCTGTCATTAGGAAACGAGTACCAGGTAAGAATGGCAGATCCATAGATGAAGTATTGAAACTTCATCAGTTGAGGTGATTGGGACTGACTGACTGACTACAAATAATAATAACAATAATAATAGTAACTTTGTCCAAAACTATATGTTTAGTACACAATATGGAATTCCCAGTACGAATTATTTCAATAAGTTCTCTTTTACAAAACAATTTGTGATTGGCAGTTGAAAATAAACAGTTCAGGAATCGACATCTTATTACTACTATACATCCTTTCCTCAACAGATTATCAGCCACCGAGATGTCTTGAATTGTACATAATCGAAACTTGTGAAGTGATAGCTAGTAAACTTTATATAAACACATGAATAGAGTACAGAATTAACGTGTTACTGATCTAAAGTAAAAACAATGTTCTAACTTATTTTACAATGTAGCTTGTGGTAAATATCTGACTATGGTAGTTGTGTTACAGGATAGTCAGATTAATATTCATAAAAACCCATTAAGAATTTCTCTCTCACTTTATTTCAATGCCTTAATTTTATAGTAAATGAAATCAGATTAATTCAAGCCATGATTCTTTACTGGTTTCGTTCAATTGGTATCATTTAGAACTTATCAAATATTTTAGGGATACATTTATCGGTTTTGATAGATACTTTAAACAGCATGTTAGTATTCATCAGATATTATAATTTAAGATACTTGGGGTGTCATTAACAGTGATGTTTATGATGTGCATGCACGTCATCCTATTAGGAGCTTGTCTGATGGATGTTTAGTGGTGAGAGATACCAGATTGTCTATGTTCACCACTAAATTTTCTATACTATCCCATCATTTAAATCAAAATAAATCCATGTACCAATATTTTATTGAAGGAGAGAGTAGGCATCACATGGAGAGTAGCAAGTTGAGAAAAATGGCAGCAACGCGAAGAGAACACTGCGCACAAGAAGTGTTTTAGGTAGAGTTAAACAAAACGAGTACAATAATGTTTATTTTTCACAAATCGTATTTTCTTCGTAGAAGCGTTCCACTACAGATGTTTTAATCTTCACGAAGGAACTCGAACCTAGTGCGCTTTGTTTCAAACACCAAATGTGTTTTTCATTGAGCTACTAAATCCAATAAAGCCATTAACTTATTCAACGAGTATGATGTTTGATTGGTGAAGGGTTTGAGTAATCTTGTTTTTGTTTACTGACCAGTATTTGTTAACATATCGGCATCCTCTTTGAAATACCTCGATAGAGCCATTAGGATAGATGAATAGCGGTCAGAAGTGGAATGCAGGACGTAAATTCTGTCTGTCTAATAAGCTGTTTACAATTGGCAGCCATGCATTTAGTGGATAACACGTTGGTGAAAGCTAGTGGATTCAAGTCCCCATCATAGAAATCGAAGCTGAAATTTTAGTACACTAAACTAATGATTCCCAAATAGGATAAGAGATGCCTCCAGGATTCTCATGTCAGTCATAATCCATTTGTATCCTGATGGCTGTATCTCGGTAAACTACATAAGACGCCCCATATACCAACAAAGGTTAAATGAAAATTTCATCCTCCATATGAAGAAAACATGATAACTTAAACCTTTACCAATAATAATGTTAACCAAACTTTCACGATCTTAAACGATGGTTACTTATAAGAGTAAGAGTTACAAATTGAGGACATTATCTAACCTCACCAAACACTTTTGACAACCTCTTGAATCTCAACAAATACTTGAACATACGATTTGTCTCGAGAGCAGTTATGTTTTTGGTAATTTAGCTTCAGCATCATCTTAAGCTTATTTTTCGGTTTCATTGCGGAAATTCCTACTGATTTCAAACATCTTGTCGATTATATGTTGAGAAGTTTTACTTTCTCAATAATAATACACGTTATCTTTAGCTACATTTTAAATTTTGCGCGAAAATTTCCTCTCTAGTTATTTTAATTCTGATTGGTTCACTTGAGGTTGTCAGTACATTGTACTTTTACCAATTAAAATTTTTGTTATTCCTTGTGTTGTTCACACAGCTTTATCTAACTGATGTACAAAGCTCAGATGCTGGAAATTATCGTTGTGTAGTCAGTAATGAATATGGTTCAGCTAAACGTCATTGGCTTGTACAAGTTATGTGTAAGTGTTGATTAGTTTTTAAAAAACATTTTTTCTAACAATAAAAAAAAGCTTTTATGTACATATATAATACAGTTTGTATGAGATGTGATATGTTTAAAAGATTGTATTTTCTGGTATTTTTCTTCAAACTTTCCTTTAAATAGGTAAATGTTAAAAGAGATAGATGCAGATCAGATAGATATGTTGGAGGACTTTAAAATAGAGTCTGTTACATGCCTTTTATACTGAAAAGTATAATAATGATTAAGGTAAAAGAGGTTGGTAGTGAATGAGGAATATAGGAACATATAAATGCTAACAAAGCTCATATATGTACAACAGATGTAATAATAAGAGCACACAGTGTCAAATCAATGTAAAGTTACACTTATTGAGTTAACGTATAAGATCAGTCTTGCAAATTGTTACACATGTACGTAAACATGTCATTTGATAGGATTGAACTATTACGAGTTTACCCCTTAGTCGGAAAACGAGAGCGAGGATCTGGTGACACGACAGGCTACTCTAATCCAATTTTCCCAACTCCCCATTGAGTAAAAGAAGAAGACTTGATATGAAGTGGAACCTGTATTCTGCAAGCATCCAGAAAGTACTGGGTCCGAGTCCAGAAGAGAATCACTATCCCAGATTAGGGATCCGGGACCGAGTACTGGTCCTGGTCATAAAACGTTACAGATAATCCATATTTATACAGTTAGGTCGAATAGGAAACAACATTGAAGTCTGTGACATTGATAGTTTGGATGACCTATAGAAAACAAGATTTGAAGCATATGACATTGATAGCTAAGATGACCATAATATTGACCAGTAGGAATTAACCAATAGGACTTGACCAATAGAACTAGACTTACAAATAACTCTCTTAGGATATTGGATGAATATCCTAACACAAATTTATAAATGCACTCTTTATCAAATGTGGTACCTGAGATTGCTTTTTACAGACACAACTAGACAAACGAACAACTGTTTTGTAATTCAACACATTCTACTTTGATTTACCATGGCTTTAGTGACGTCTTTATATTCAACTGTTAATCAGTGAAGATTGTGATTACTTTGGTCCCGTCAATAAACATCCAAACTGAACTAGTTAGTTTTGTTCATGACATTCTGACCTGTAATCTGATAACCACTTTAGATTACATATTTCAGTTTACTAGAGTTAGCCAAATGCAGTCTCCTTTTGTTCTCCAGACAACAAATGGTCATATTGTGGGCGACAGTAGAGCATGAAACAACAACTATACAGCCTAACTACCTAGAAGTTATTCGCATGTTTCGAGTAATGAAAAACGGTGAAAATCATGCACTCAAATCTAGAAATCAAAATTGTATCTGTTATAAGTAGTACAGTGTAACACAACGAAAAAAGCTCAATAAAAACAAATTATAAATGGGATGGTAGAGAAAATTTGTAGCCTCGGGTGAATGATTGTGCTGGAGTTTCGTCCTCTGAACTGGATATTTTAGTTGTGGAGCTTCCCCATTGTTCTTCTTCTGAACAACATCATTAGCACTTCCTTCTAAAGTCTGAGCTAATGATGTTTAGTTCGGAAAAGGAACAATGTAAGCTCCACAACCAAAACATCAAGCTCAGGGATTATATATACAAGTATTGCATACTTCTACTTCATATCAAGACGTAGAACTTCGTACGTATGTACATAAGTTCATGTTGCCATACCACATTAGCACAGACAGATGCAAATGTCAAATCAAATCCCATAGTGATAAAGATAGTAGAGGTATTATCGGTAATGAAGAAGACTAGGGTTTGAAGAAATTATTCAAGAAGTATAATTCAGTGAGATAAGGTTAGAAAGACAAAGGTAGAGGTACTGATGATTCCAGAAGATTAGGATTTGAGCGAGCTCAAAGAATGGATGCACTTTGGCCGTTGAAAACGATCATGAGCCATGTCATTCAAGGTCTCTAACCATTGATGACTTTCGTCTCGCAGACCCCAACCAGGTAGCCTACATCTACGAACATGACTTAGTCCACTAGTCAGTGACTTCATGGATTTGTGCCATGTTTTGTTTTGGCCGCTCCCAGCTTTCTTCCAACCTACTCTTACACCACATGTATTTAACAATGTTTATAAATTACATTGACTAACTGAACAATTTTATAGGGGAAAATAAAATAAATCCATAGATTCGAAACTATTTGTTCACGTGTTTTTTATGTAAGTGCATTCATTATCTGTTATGCACTTTGATAGAAGGCATAAGCCTGATAGAACAACGTCAAATCATTTGTATTAAGAAATAATTACACAAAGGATTAATAAATTAAAACTATTTTCTTCAAATGTAATTTTGTTTCATAACCTTAATTCTTTTAAATTAGAAAGTAAGTTCTTATTCAGTTTATTTAAAGTCAATTTATAAACAGCTACTCAATTTAAAAATGATCATTTTATGTTCAGTGTGAAATAGAATTTTGTGGAAAAAATGTCGCGTTCTTTAAATTATTTATTTACATTTTAAAAATAAATAATTATTTAGAAATATGTACTAACAGCGGAAAGTAAGTCTTACAAATTTAACGAAACTGTATTACTTACTTACTTACTTACTTACTTACGCCTGTTACCCCCAATCGAGCATAGGCCGCACAACAGCAGCATTCTCCAACCAACTCTGTCCTCGGATTCCCTTCCCAGTTTTGTCCAATTTTTCTTCATTCCTCTCATATCTTTCTCTATTTCTCGGCGTAATGTATTCTTTGGCCTTCCTCTCTTCCTTTTGCCTTGAGAGTTCCATGTGAGGGCTTGTCTCGTGATGCAGTTCGATGCTTTTCGTAGTGTGTGTCCTATCTACTTCCACCGCTTCTTCCTGATTTCCTCCTCCACTGGAATCTGGTTTGTTCTCTCCCACAGTTCGTTGTTGTTGATGGTGTCTGGCCAACGAATCCGAAGTATTTTGCGTAGACAACTGTTAATAAACACTTGTGTCTTCTGGATGACGGCTCTTATAGTTCTCCATGTTTCCGCTCCATACAGTAGAACTGTCTTGACATATGTATTGTAAATCCTGATTTTGGTTTTGGTTGAAAGTTGTTTGGAGTACCAGATATTTTTTAACTGTAGAAATGCAGCCCTTGCTCTGCCGATCCGAGCCCTCACATCTGCATCGGATCCACCTTTCTCGTCGGTGATGCTGCCCAGATATGTAAAGGTGTTAACGTCCTCCAAGGCATCTCCATCAAGAGTGATTTGGTTGGTGCATGTTGTGTTGCATCGGAGAATTTTGCTTTTTCCTTTATGTATGTTGAGACCTACTTCTGAAGAGGCTGCTGCTACACTGATCGTCTTCTCTTGCCTTTGTTGTTACGTGTGCGATAGAAGAGCCAGTTCATCTGCGAAGTCCAGATCGTCCAGCTGCGTCCTAACTGTCCAGTTGATACCTTGCTTCCCTCCAGACGTCGACGTCTTCAAGTGAAGATTATTGAGTTTTATTGAATTACATTACGGGGTTTTGAAGATTGTTAAGGTACACATTTTTGAAACCATGAATCGATCAATGTTATACCACCATTAGAAACCTAGAAGCACTGGACGGCTGTTTAGTCCTGTTATGGGACTCATCGGCAGTGTGCATCCACGACTCCTGGACTCCTCAGGATTCGAACCCAGGACCTTCAGTCTTGTGCGCGGATGCCTAACCTCTGGACAACTAAACCGGTATCTAATGGTTTTAATGTCTAACTTGATGAATTCACGGAGTTGCGCAACCACATACACAGTTGTCGGTAGTTATTGTCTACACTCGAATTGATGAATCGATCATTGTTAGACTATCATTAGAAACTGAGTAATGTTGCGCTATAATATCGATTGCTGAAAGTTAGTCATTAACACCATTAGATGTCGGCTCAGTGGTCTAAAGGTTAAGCAGTCGTGCGCGAGGAAGAAGGTCTTGTGTTCAATTCATACCTGTGGGTGTCGTGGATGCTCACTACTGAAGAGCCTCATACCAGGATAAAATGGCCTCCAGTACCACCCTCATTTCTAATAGTGGTCTTGTAATGATTGACTCATCATTTCAATATTAAGCAATCAATTTATAAAGTGCAGATCATTTTACATTATCGATCTTCATATATAAATATTAATATTTATAGTTACGGTCATGAACTAATTCATTTGTAAGCTATTGATTTCAATACGCAGTTTATAGCATATATAAATACATATATATGTATATATTACAACTTTTCTAAGTCAGAATGAATATATAGAATAACTATTTCAATTTAATTGAAATTTTTTTAAAATAATGTTGATACCTCCGATTCTTGTAACAGTGTACTTAATCAACACTGTGTATTCTACTTCATCAGTTAAATATGTTCAATGGCATACAGATGATCAACATGGTATAGATATTAAATCCAACATGGATTTAAAAGATATTTTACAACGTAAAAAATATGAAATACAAAGAATGAAGACATTGAAAAAACCTTACACTACTTATGATAATACTAAAAACCGAAAATTATCATCCCCCTCTTCCAGTAAATTATTAACAGGTTTAATTGTTGATAAAATGAGAAAAATGACTAATGATTATGAGAAACAACAATCGTTAAAGGATAAAAATCAACCAAACGTCAATCATCATTACGGGACATCGATTATTGTTACACATGACCAATATACATCAAATGTGAATGGTCATAAGAAAACGAATGAAAATGGACTGATTCAAGCAGAAGAATATGATGATCGTAACGATGATTATGCTGATCAAAAGTTGAAATTCGATCAACATTTAAATGATGATTTATTTGGACTTCCAATGACAGTTTTCGATGAATTCGGTTTTGGTGGATTGTTCTAATGTTGTGTATAGATTTATATTGAAATATAAAAATGAAATAATTATGTTCCTTGATACATATATGATGTAAAAATCAAATATTTTGTAAATTCACTATCTCTATGTATCTATCCATCTATCTATCTATCTTTTGAAACAATAATGAAGTGGAATTTGCCTATCGAAACAGATCCTCCAATGAAAATTTAACCATGATAAATTTTCTTATTTTTTTAAAATAGTCATTAAAAGATTTGTAATTGAAATTGTTGTTACGCCTTCATGGAAACACATCAACTTGATATACTTGAACTATTATTACGAGTTTACCACTTAGTCGGAAAATGAGAGCGAGGATCGCGGATCCGGTAACATGACGACATACTACTCGAATCCGATTATCCGAACCCCAATGTTTAGTGTAAATAAGAAGACTTGAATGTGGAGTAGAACCTGTATTCTACAAGCATCAAGAAAGTACGAAGTCCGAATCCAGAAGAGAATCAGGATCTCGGACTAGGGATCCGGGACTGAGCCCTGGTCGTGGTCGTGGTCATAAAACGTTACAGATAATGCTTATTGATACATTTTGGTCGAATACGAAACAGCATCGAATTCTGTGACATTGACAGTTAAGACGACCAATAGGAAGTAAGATTTGAAATGACATTGATAGTCCGGATGACCAATAATAGACAACATTGAAGTATTTGACTTTGACTGGTAGAACGACTATAATTTTGACCAATAGAAATCGACCAATAGGATTTGAGCAATAATTGTCTTAGGATATTGGATGAATATCCTAACAGAAATCAATTGAGAATATGCGGTTATTTAAAACAATCATGAAATGACTTACATTCAATTTCAATTTAGATAAGAGCTTATCATAAAGATACATTCCGATTTATTGTTATAAAGCATTCATTCATCGGTTCTTGGACATTGAACAGATCAATATTTAAAATCATCCTGTGTGTGTGTGTGTGTGAGTGCACTGACATGTTGAGTCCACAGGGCTTGTCAGACAAAGTTCATTCACCTTTTCTGCCTCAGTCATTATTCATTTGTGTTTTGACCTTGTCAATTATTCGCTCATGACCTTGATTATTTGAACATGAATGCATTGCTTAATTTACTTGTCACATGTCTGACTTAATTATGACTCATCACATTCCATTGGACTACTTGTTTTCAACGCTTCAGCTTGTTGATCGTTTTTACGATTCTCATCATCGTCTATCTGCCTACGGGAAAATAAGAAAGAAGTTCATCCACTATAAATCATATTGGGCTTTTAATTACCGTCATCGGACAAACAGGGTTCGCCTAAGAATGATATGTGGAAATGAAAGAGGAGATTTATTACGCGAAGTATTCAATCGGCCGCCTAAATTGGAGTTAAATTTCTATTGGAGTAAATTACTTATTTAGAAAAAAAATACTTATGTTACAACTTGAGCCTTTTGGTTGGTTTGCGTTTAGTCAGGAGGTAACTCGTGTGCTGGGCCGGTGTGTTACATGGCTCTCCCTGATGGAATACCATTGTCCTCAGTGCTTGCGGTGTCTGTCTTTTTGTGAGACTCATGAGGTACATCAATTGGAATAGCCGGTATGTAAAGCTACTTAGAGAGGGATAGTTTCTGTGTGATGCACCTGAATGTGAGTTAACTGTATCCCACCTTGTTAGGATATTCATCCAGTATCCTAAGAGAATTATTGGTCAATTCCTATTGATTAATTCCTACTGGTCAATTTTATGGTCGTCTTAGATATCAGTGTCACCTGCTCCAATGTTGTTTCTTTGTTGGTTGTCCTGGCTATCAATGTCACTTCAAATGTTGCTTCCTATTGATCGTCTTAACTGTCAATGTCACATAATTCGATGCTGTTTCTCATTCGACCAAAATGTATAAATACGCATTATCTGTAACGTTTTATGACCAGGATCAGGACCAGGGCTCGGCCCGGATCCCTATTCCGGGATCCTGATTCTCTTCTGGATTCGGACTTCGTACTTTCTGTATGCTTGTAGAATACAGGTTCTACTTCATACCACGTCTTCTTATTTTTACTCAACATGGGGGTTGAGATAATCGGATTTGCAAAGCATGTCATGCTACCGGATCCTCTATCCTCGCTCTCGTTTTCCGACTAAGTGGTAAACTCGTAATAATAGTTCAAGTATATCAAGTTGACGTGCATACGTGCAGGCTTAACAACCTCCATCACCAAATGTAACTTCACACTTTTAGTTGGTTCGTGTTTAGGCAGGAGGTACCACGTCGGTTGAGGGTGTGTTATAATGTTGTTTGGTTTTAAAAAATATATCTTTTGACGATTTCATTCTGTTAATGATATTTGTTTGATGTTATTTCTACTATTCAAGATAATATATTGTTCAGTTTATATGTAGAAACTAATAAGTTGGATGTTTGAATTATTCCTGTTTCAATAGCTTTGGTTAAAGTAATCAGATAGTCTCATTAATTTTAATTGAAACAGAATCAATCAACTTTGAAATTAAAATGCCTAACGATATTAGATAATCGATATCCTTATCTTAAATTCGGGATTCGTGCTATTCAGAACTGGTCTGTAGGTTGTACTTGAACTCCTGAGTCCTATCGGGTTTGAATCCTTGTTATCCAGCTTATCAGTAAGAGATATTATTACCAAACTTATTCCAACCTTTGATTGATAAACGAATATTCTTGTAGTTAGGATTTCTCAATTTAAAGATAGTTTACACACTAGATAACAATAGACAGTCGTTTCCTCATAACGAATCTTTTGGTGAGTACTTTTATGAAGTTTCAAATCTTGATAACATAATCGTTCAATGGATGTTGGGTCAAGAGGGTTAAGCATTTATGTGCGAGACCATAGGGTTCGATTTTCGCTTGCAGGGTCATGGATGTACACTGTCAGTGAATCTCACACTAGGGCAATAACGACCTTCTAGTGCTTCCAGCTTTCTATTGGTGCTTTAAAACTGTTTCCATAAATTTCAATTATTGTCTCATTGAATAAAACAAAATTTCATGACTTCATTCAAACTTTTTTTTACTGTTGTTATTATTATTGATATAATTTCCCAATTATTAGCTCCACCATCAATACGATTTTCAAGTCAAGAAGGTGAACATAATATACCACTTGGATCAAATTTAGCATTATTCTGCGTGGCAACCGGTAATCCATTACCTAAAATTACATGGACTAAAGATGGAAAACCATTAAATAATGATGTTATGAAATTGTCAATTAGTGATGATCATGTACACTTACGATTAAATGATATTGAAGAAAATGATAATGGACGTTATGCATGTCATGTGAATAGTGAATATGGTCAAGTAACGAAAACATTTGATATTAAAATAATTTGTAAGTTTATTTTGGTTGATTTTTGTGTTAATTTTTGAAAATAATACTGTGGTGCGAGCTACTTATAAGTAGTATATGACGTGAGAGCGTCAACGTAATGTCTGGTAGGCAGCAGAAGATGGGGGAAGATCAAGAGAAAGGAAGAGTTAGAACACAATCGAGTTTGTGTGAAACACATGAATATTGACAATGGATTGATGTTGTTTGCAACAGGAACAGTCTAGTTCGATATGATGAACTGATATTTTGCAAATGAACAATTTACGATATGGTTTTCCTATTTTACTGAGTAACTCTGTAATTTTCGTTAAATCCAATCCGGTTGCCTCACCTGTGTTCTCGTTCACTACAATATTAATTTTACACGGTTTGTTACCCCCCAATTAACGCATTAGTTGTGGAACAGGATTCTCCAACTAATTCAGTTATAAGCCTTTCTTTTCCAGTTCTAACCAACTGCTATACATTCTTTTCATGTCTGTCTTCACTTTTTGGCGCAGGGTGTTCCTCTGTTTATCACTTTTCCTTTGACTGTTAAAAAAAACCTGGATCTTTTAGATAATGGCATATGTAGTTGTCCAAGTTTCTACTCTGTACAATAGAACAACTTTGATATTTGTATTAAAAATTCTGACTCTGGTGTTAGTTGACAGTTGTTTTGAGTTGCTTATGTTCTTCGATTGTACAAATGCTGCTCTTCTACCAAGCCATGTCTTTACATCTGTATCAGATTCACCTTGTTGATCAGTAATAATGCTCAGATATGTAATTGTTTTCAAATCTTGTTCAGGTATACACTAACCCCAAATTACTTACTTACTTACGGCTGTTACCCCCAATGGAGCATAGGCCGCCCACCAGTTTCCTCTAACTAACTCTCTCCTGGCTTCCCTCTCCAGTTCTATCCAATGTTTGTTCATTCCTCTCATATCTTTCTCTATTTCTCGGCGTAGTGTGTTCTTTGGCCTTTCTCTTTTCCTTTTGCATTGAGGTTCCATGTGAGGGCTTGTCTCGTGACACAGTTAGGTGCTTTTCGCTGTGTATGTCCTATCTACTTCCACCACTTCTTCCTGATTTCCTCCTCCACTAGAATCCGGTTTGTTCTTTCCCACAGTAGGTTGTTGTTGATAGTGTCTGGCCAACGAATCAGAAGTATTTTTCATAGACAACTGTTCATAAATACTTGCATCTTCTGGATGATGGCTTTCGTAGTTTTCCAAGTTTCAGCTACATACAGTAGAAATGTCTTCACATTTGTTTTGAAAATCCTGATTTTGGTTTTGGTTGAAAGTTGTTTGGAGTTGCAGATATTTTTCAACTGTAGAAATGCAGCCCTTGCTTTCCGATCTGCGCCCTTACATCTGCATCGGATCCACCTTGGTTATCGATGATGCTGCCCAGAAATGTAAAGGTGTTAACGTCCTCCTAGGCATCTCCATCAGTAGTGATTTTGTTGGTACAACTAACCCCAAATGCTGACATTTAAATATGTTTTTACCATTTTTATTATTTTTTTCTTGAATTCTTCAATAGATGGACCTAGACTAGATCCTGATGGTCAATTGCAATACAGTGTAGAACGTACTGTAGGAGCTAGTGCACTACTTGAATGTCTTGTGTCTGGTAATCCAAGACCAAAAATTGAATGGTTCAAAGATGGTGTACCACTAGATCAACTATCATACAGGTAAGTTTCATAAAAAAACCTTTTTATTTGTAAGTTATACAATTGATTTCATGAGTAAATTAAATGTTTAGTAGAATGATTACTTACTTACTTACTTACGCCTGTTAACCCCAATGGAGCATAGGCCGCTCACCAGGGCTGTCCTCTCCAGTTCTGTCCAATGTTTGTTCATTCCTCTCATATCTTTCTGTTTCTCGGCGTAATGTGTCCCTTAGCCTTCCTTCCTTCATGTTTTCTAGTGTTTCCTGTACCAGAGTTTAATATGTATTCTCTCGGAATTTACTATTTTGTTTTAATGTAGCTCCTCTTGTAGGATACACATAGTTGTACACTTAGTTCGTGTTGCGTCTGCACGTAAATACGTCAACTTGATATACTTGAACTATTACGAGTTTATCTTAGTCGGAAAGCGAGAGCGAGGATCGAGGATCCGGTGACACGACATGCTATTCAAATCCGATCATCCCAACCTCCATATTTAGTAAAAAGAAGAAGACGATATGAAGTAGAACCTGTATTCTACAAGCATCCAGAAAGTACGAAGTCCGAATCCAAAAGAGAATCAAGATCCCGGACTAAGGATCCGGGACCGGGTCCTAGTCCTGGTCATGAAGCGTTACAGATAATGCGTATTTATACGTTTCGGTCGAATAGCAAACAGCATCGAAATCTGTGGCATTGACAGTTAAGACGACCAATAGGAAACAACATTTGAAGTGACATTGACAGTCCGGATGATCAATAATAGACAACATTGAAGTATTTGACTTTGACAGGTAGAACGACCATAATTTTTTACCAATTGAAATCGACCAATAGGATTTGACCAATAATTCTCTTAGGATATTGGATGAATATCCTAACAGTTCGTAACAATGTTTTGAAGATAACCGTAGAGTTTGATGGATAAGATATAATCGATCTAAAATATGGAAGGTATACATTAGAGAATATTTCGAATACAACTACACCATTTTATTCCTGATAATTTGGATTCACGTAACCTTCATTTATCTTGTGATGAAGGATAATAATATTTGTAATTCAGGAGGATGATTTTGAAAACATATCGTCATCTTTAAGCTCGATAGTTTAGTTGTGGAACTTTCGTCTTCTGTTTAACAGTACATGCGAATAATGATGTCAGGAAGAATAATGAAAGTTTCACTACAACACCACTCAGTTCCATGGATACCACACCTCAGAAGTTGATTTTTTTCCAGTCCCCTTTCAACGGATAGTTATTTTCCACGCTCAACATTCAGACAATGATTTAAAGACGATTTACTGACTATTTACACATGTTTAGAATCATATTATTGAAAATACTGATAAATGAAATAAAATTTTATTTTGTTTTAGTCTACAAGGTTCATATTTTTTTAAAACAATTTTCTCCGTCAATCAACAAACATTCATACTGTTAAATGAAATTGGTTTTATTATTTCTAATTAATTAATTAATAAAAAGTGTTTTAGAAATATTTTCACTTCTGTCTTTTCCCTCATTTTCATTTAGATATCGTTTAATTAATCAAGATCGTCAATTAGAAATTATATCAATGCAACCGGCCGATGCTGGTCGTTATCGATGTGTTGCAAAAAATAATTATGGTCAATTAGAAATTAATACAGATGTTTCAGTTGGAGGTAAATTTTTATGTTTTGTATGATTTGTGCTGGTCAGTCAGTCAGTCAGCCCAAGAGTCCTTCTAGGGTTATTGCCAGTCTTAAGTCCAGATAAAGTAAGAGGGCATGGGTTTAGCTACCCCATCCCGTGAAAAAACGCTAACAAGAAAGAATAATTCGCTGGTGGTGGCCTATGCTCCATTAGAGGTAACAGATGCCATACCACAGAGAGATTGAATTGTCAATTCACATCCCATTGTGTAATAGAAATAGTAGAAATATTAGCGGTAATGGAGAAGATTGGTGTTCAAAGATAACATTTGTGAAGTATAATTTAGAACACCACATATTAGCGAACAATATTGTTTTCGATTAGATTGTCATCAGGCTTTACTCTAATATACATAAATATTGATATGAAAATGTTAAACCAATTAAGGCAATTTGAGTCAATAATCACAATCAAATGAAAAATATGATAACTAGAGTTTTATCAATAGTAGGTCAAAGGTGGATGAATAGACTTCAAATAAACATTAAAAACGTCAAAACCATTACGTAATAAGCAAATGTGTAAAAATAAAAATAAAAAAAATAAAAAATATAATGTCAGTCGTTAGTTACGTCATATCTGACGACGGAAGAGATAGGGGCTGTCACGAATTTCTTCTGAACACATAAATTGGGGATGAATGTAAGTATTCCTATGGCTTCTGCTATGTGCAGGAGACGGGATCGAACTCCGTTAGGAAATGATGATGGAGGTATACGATAGGTCACTCGAAAAGATCTAGACTTATCTACAATATGACCACTATCAACCAGGTGTATTAAGATCGAACTGCGTATTGTTTTTGACTGACCCTTCTTAAACCATGCTGGGAGATGTTCACTCATTCGTTGGGTAAGTTGCCTGGAAGTACACCCCACATAGCTATCTCCACAGGAGCAAGTGGATTTGTAAATGCACATAGAGGAGGCCAACTCAGGTAACTTATCCTTCGTTTGGGTAGACATCGCTGGTCGACTTGAGAAGGTCAACGCAAGTTTGGCTGCATTGAATGTTCTATTAATTGCTCTCATTAATCTGTCCTGCAGAGTATCGCAGGCCACATCTCCGTTGAATTGTAATTTAATAAATAATGGCTTCTTTCGGACGGCCGAAATTACTGACTTCTTTTTTACATCAACCATATACATCCTTATGAATGTACTGCGGTAGCCGATCTCGGTCAGCGAGTTGTTGATAAATTGCAGCTCCTGACTTAAAGTATCCACTGAACAGATCATTTTCGCTCTGCTAGTGAGACATCTAACCTAATTTCTTTTGTAGCGGATAGGTGTAAAACTACAAGAGTTAGTGTATTGGCAAGCAGAAGGATTTTTTCTATATACGCTTCTACTTAGCGAGTCATCACTTCGTCTACTTAGTGTGACATCCAGGAAGGTCAGCTTTTTATCGTACTCCTCTTCACCAGTGAAAGTGATTGCCGGGTGTACGCTGTTGAATTTAGTGGAATTAATTTGAATGGAGAAAGATCTAGATGATAAGGAATTCAGAAGATTAGAATCTGAGAGCAAACAAAGAACAGATGCATCTGTACAATATTAGTCAATTTTGAGCCATGTTAGCAGGTGTAGACTACCTGATTAGGGGTCCTGTCCAAGAGACAATATTAATCGATGGTTAGAGACTTTGAATGACAGTGACTTCATGGATTTGTGCCATGTATCAGTCTGGCCGCCTTTAGCTTAACATCAAGATATGATATAAAATTGAATTTGTGTAGCTAGAACTCAAAATGTTCATACTTTTCTATCTAGTACTATATGATTTCAACAAAAATATGTTAACCAAGATTGCTTATGATTTTTTAAAATTTAATTTCTAATCAATAGCTCCAGCTCGTATTGATCGTGGACGTGTACGTACAGAATATACAGTTCGTGAAGGTGATGAACTTGTGCTACCTTGTCCAGCTACTGGATCACCCACGCCGAAATTATATTTTACACGTACTGGTGAAACACGTCCAGGTAGTAGTAGTAGCAGTAGTAGATATGATGATAATTCTGGTGTGATTAAATTATCAAGACAAACTGATAATTTACCTAAACATTCAGTTATATCACAGGTAATTTATTATTATTATTATTATTATTATTATTATTATTATTATTATCATTAAATATTAATTATTTATTTCATACAATTGATTGTAAATCGATCTAAAAATAAAAAATAGATGAGACACATTAAATTATATCGTTTTTATTCACTTACTTACTTAATTACGGCTGTTACCCCCAATCGAGCATAGGCTGCACACCAGTTTTCTCCAACCAACTCTGTCCTGGGCTTCCCTATCCAGTTCTGTCCAATGTTTGTTCATTCCTCTCATATCTTTCTCTATTTCTCGGCGTAGTGTGTTCCTTGGCCTTCCTCTCTTCCTTTTGCCTTGAGGGTTCCATGTGAGGGCTTGTCTCGTGACGCAGTTAGGTGATTTTCGTAGTGTGTGTCCTATCCACTTCCACCACTTCTTCCTCATTTCCTCCTCCACTCGAATCTGGTTTGTTCTCTCCCACATTTCGTTGTTGCTGATGGTGTCTGGCCAACGAATCCGAAGTATTTTGCGTAGACAACTGTTAATAAACACTTGTATCTTCTGGATGATGTCTTTCGTAGTTCTCCAAGTTTCCTCTCCATACAGTAGAACTGTCTTGACATTTGTATTGAAAATGCTGATTTTGGTTTCAAGTGTGGAGCTTACATTGTTCGCCTTATGAACAACATCATCAGCACAAATTTCAGATAGCAGAAGTGAAGTATTCGAATTTCTCCATGTTTGATCTGTAGCTTGTTCTGTTAACCTCGATCTTGATTAGTTGCTGTTGACCTTAAATCTTTTGTTGTCAATGCACCTTTGATTTGATTGTATCCCCCTTTTTATCTGTTTCTTGATCCTATGTCTCCTATGATTTTCCTGATTGGTTGATAAATTGGGTCAATGTCGATGTGTTTGTTGATTGCTGATTGACCTGAGTGCCAAGATTCTAAAAATTCTCTAGTGTTCGCTTTGTGCTCCCCTTATCCAGTATTTCCACATTGCTCCACCATGTAAGTATATCAAACCACAGAATGAGAAAATAAATTTTTTACATCAACAATCCAAAAGTCATTGTGAATATGCGAAATCTATAAATCATAAACTAGAAAAACATTAGAAACAGTAAATCATTCAAAAAAATTAGTCAATAGGTTAATCAAGAGCTTATGACAAAACCTACTTAATTACACCTGTTTTATCCCTAATGTAGCATAGGCCACTGACCAGCACGCTACAACCAACTCTGTCCTCCGACTTCCTCTGTAGTTCTATCCAATTGTTATTCATTCTTTTGATGTTTGCTCACTATACTCAGCTTAATGTGTTCCTTGGTCTTCCTCTTTCCCTTTGGCTTTGAAGATTCTAAGTTTAGGAATTGCCTTGTGAAACAGATGAATGATTTCCATAAGGTTTGTCCTATCCACCTTCAATATAGAATAATAAAATGGTAGTAATATTATTTCCATAAATCACTCCTGGAAGTTACCATTCGTCTAATCTCCTTCTTGACACAGTACATTATGTACACGAAATGTTGAATCACTTGTACTGATGAGTACATTGAAACCATATCTATTAAATTCAACCAGTGTTAAGAACTAGACAAACATAGAAATGACTACTACTAAATGACAAATCTTTGTGAAATATTTCTTTAGTTATACCATTGAGATAATCTAGTTCCTATCTAGTCTCATAGTTTCAACACTTTTTGTTTTACAAAACTTTAATTTTAGGATCGTCAATCACTTACTATTTTTCGTACTATAAAAAATGACAGTGGTTCATATCAATGCAATGCAAGCAATGCAGTTGGTTGGGATATCATGGAATACAGTGTACGAGTTCGTGGTAAGTTTTGAATTTTTTTTCGATCAAAGTTGAATCATGCACATTGTTTTTGCATTTGACTATGGTGCTTTCTTTTTTCAACGGTTAAACATTCTTTTTACACATTTGAAATCATTAATCAATCATCATTGTTAGACCACCATTAGAAACCTGGAAGCACTGGACGGCCGTTTCGTCCTAGTATGGGACTCCTCAGCAGTGCGCATCCACGACTCCTGCTCCTCGTAGGATTCGAACCCGGGACCTTTGGCATTGTAGGCGAACGCCTTACCATCGGACCACTGGGCCGGCATCCAACGGTGTTAATGTCTAACTCTGATTGATCTTTGTTATCTTTGTTATAAAACAAAGATAAGTCAAATTCAGCTTTTAACAATCGAGTAGATGAGCCTAAAGTTCTTTTGAGATTCTGTAATCATTAGGGTTGAACCTTGTCAAGTGTGAGGCGAAGACAGTGGCAGATGACCGTGCAGTATCGCGGATTGATTAAAGTTATTATATATTAACATCAGTGTATGCCAAATCAGTGGTCTAGGTTTTAAGCATTCGGTCGCGCGACTAAATGCCTTATGTTCGATCCCCTCTTACGGTGTCATAGATGCACATTGTTTAGCAAGTCTCATACTAGAATGAAACAGACATCCAGTGCTTCTAAATATTCCTCGATGGTCTAACATTGATAAGTTCGTAATTCCCAAAAAACGTCAGTTGTTGTTGTAAATATTGAAATAACTGGACATGTACTGTATGATTGAATAAGGTTAAAAGTCTCATGAATTGACAAGGATAATAACAGGTTTATATGATAGTTTAGCTTTAGTCTAACAAGTCCCTTTTTTATATGTAGTAAAGCAGCTAACCTCACACGCGGACCTCTTGCTTTCTCCAGATTTAAGACATGTAGAGTAATCTTTGTAGGTCTGTAAATGATGGTAAATTTGTTTATACACTAAAACGTAATACAGCTCTCTTTATCTACTCCTTTCATTAATATCAGTGTTCGGTTTAGTTTAATTTTTATAAAGTATTAAAGCATTACAGATATAGGCGAACAATAATGTTATTTTCAATCAAATTGTCATCAAACTTTACTCTCTAATATACATGAATCTTTATATCAACATGTTATCCTAACCAAGGCAATTTACTGCGAGTCAATCATCACAATGTCAGTCAGTCAGTCAGTACGTAGAACTTCGTACGTATGTACATAAGTTCATGTTGCCATACCACTACACTACTACCACTACATACCCCATCAGCACAGAGACGCAAGTGTCAGTTCAAATCCAATAGTGGTGGAGATAGTAGAAGTATTAGCTGTAATGAAGAAAATGATGGTTCGAAGGTATTATTCAAGAAGTATAATTCAGTGAGATAAATTTAGAACGCGAACGATAGAGATGATGAGGAATTCAGGAGGTTAGAATGTGAGAGAGCACAATGAATGGATGCACCTGCGCCATTGCAAACCATTTTGAACCATGTCGTTCAAGGTCTCTAACTTTCAATTACAACTAGGTTGTCGATACCTACCGACGTGATTCAGTCCACTTGTCAGTGACTTCATAGATTTGTGCCATGTTTTTGTCTGGCCGCCCCTTGCTTTCTTCCAACCTATTCCTACACCACAAAACATAGCTCGTTGAGGCAGTAGTCAATGGTTAGACATTCGTAACATATGTCCCAGCTGATGGAGTTTCAATAGTTCATCAATTGACCTGCCATCGTTACCTAGTACTCATTTCCTAACTATAGCATTTGCTTACTCGATTGTCCCAGGATATACAAGCAATGCTTCGGAGACATGATGAAGATGTGGAAATAATGCTAATGATAGAAAGAGTCACGTGTGTCACGAATTTCCTCTGAACATATAAATTGCGGTAAAATGTTCGGATTTCTATAGCTTCTGCTATATGTAGTAGACGGGGTCAAACTCTGTTGGGAAATGATAGAGCTATACGATAGACAACTTGGAATAATCCAGGTTTATCAATTTTATGACAACTATCAATAAGATATGCCAAGACAGAACTGCGTATGGTTTTTATCTGGCCCTTTCTAAACCGTACTGAGAGATGTTCACTCATTCATTGATTAAGTGACCCGGTCTAACATTTCCACGCATATTAGAGAGTAAACCCTGATGACGATCTAACTAAAAACAACAATATTGTTCTAATTTTCACAATGGTAATCTTTACCATAATTAAATATCCATAATTTGCTATTCATAACCACTCAGCTATTTTAATCAATAAAAGTACAAGTGATTATCTAAAGAGCTGACAAATCTGTTTATTTTTGTGTGTTTAATTTCAAAACTTACTTTTTTTTTTTAAAGTTCCTCCAACATTTGACACATCGAATGTACAACCAGAAGTACATTGGTTTGTCAATCAGACAAGATCATTAGATTGTACATTGATGGATGGTGCTGATCCTCCACCAAAAATTAAATGGGAACGAAATAATATCCCAATTGCTAATGGACCAGATATACAAATCTCTTCAGATGGTAGTCGAATCACAGTACCTTTAGTGAAAACAACTGATGCCGGTGAATATATATGTCATGCACAAAATGAAGTTGGTAAATCTACACAAATATTCAATGTGCTGATTTATGGTAAGTTTGTTTTGGATTTTTTTTTTAGCGAAAAAAAAAACGATATTTTTGTTCTTTACATTTTGTATTGTAACGCTTGCTTAGATAATTATTCCCGGCTAATTCCTATTGGTTAGTATTCTCTGACCACACAATACACTGGACAAGTTCAAAAAGAATCAAAAACATGGTTGAACAGGAAAAAAGATTATATTCCAAATAGCAAGGTTAAATAGAAATAAGAAGCCGAAGGCAATAATAGATTTACATGAGAAGCTTCTGGATAGCAATTCACTATAATTTTATTTGAATGAAACTTGATCATCTCCACAACTCTTTGATGCTGAATAGTGACTAACTTCGTGAGGGAATTCTCGAAGTTCTAAGGAGAAGCCGTAACCAGTGGAGTTCAATGCTGTCGGGTGCAGGAAGTTATCTATTGAAGACCATGGGTGAACTTGCATAATACCTTGGATTGATCAAAGTTAGACATCGACTGCCTCGACGAGCTATGTTCTTTGGTGTAGGAGTAGGTTGAAAGAAAGCTAGGAGAGGCCAGATCAAAACATGGCAGAAATCCATGATGAAGTCACTAACAAGTGAACTGAGTCATGTTGGAAGATGTAGACTACCTGATTGGGGTCCGCGAGACGAAAGTCACCAATGGTTAGAGACCTTGAATGACATGGCTCAAAATCGTTTCCAATGGTGCAAGTGCATCCATTCGTTATGCTCTCTCAAATCCTAATCTTCTGGATTTGTCAGCACCTCTTCCCTTGTCTTTTTAACCTTATTTCACTGAATTATACTTCTTGAATAATATCTTCAAACCCTAGTCTTCTTCATGACATGACATTTGCGTCTCTGTGTTAATGTGGTATGGCAACATGAACTTATGTACATACGTACGAAGTTCTACGTTGCAACTGACTGACTGGCTGACTGACGTCGTTAGATACCGGGCTCAATGGTCTAGAGGTTAGGCGTTCACACATACAACAACTTTTTAATACATTTTTATTTTTCCTTTATTCTCTCATTTCAGTTCGTCCTAAATTTATTGATCCAACAAGAAAAATTCACATCCAAGCAGTACAAAATGAAACAATACAATTAGCATGTGAAGCAACTGGTGAACCAAGACCACGATTTGCATGGTTTAAAAAAGATCGTGAAATAATTCAACCACAATTTCTGGATTCACGTTATACACATTCACAATTGTCAAGTTTAGCTATACTAAGCGGTGACCAATTGTTACAAATATCTAATATACAACCAATTGATCAAGGTGAATACACTTGTACTGTGAATAATGGTGGTGGTACCATAGAGAAGAAATTCAATGTTACAGTAATTGGTAAGTGAGATTGTTATGCTGGCATGTAAACAAACATGTCACTGGATATGCTTGATCGATTACGAGTTTACCTTAATCGGGAAACAAGAGCGAGGATCGACGATCCGGCAACACGATATGCTACTCTAATCTGAGTATCCTAACCTCAGTTGAGTAAAAGAAGAAGACTTGATTTGAAGTAAAACATGTATTCTACAAGCATCCAGAAAGTACGAAGTTCGAGTTCAGAAGAGAATAGGGATACCGGACTAGAGATCCGGGTCATGAAACGTAACAGATAATGAGTATTTATACAATCAGGTCGAATAGGAAACAACATTGAAGTATGTTACATTGACAGTTAGGACGATCATAACAATATTGACCAGTAGGAATTAACCAATAGGAATTGAGCAATAGAACTAGACTTACAAAAATAATTCTCTTAGGATATTGGATGAATATTCTAACATAGATTGTATTGTTATTTGAACTCACAATTTTAATACATTTTATGAATTAGGATAGAAGACGTAGTTGATCGGAATAAAAGTATTGGGTTCGTCACTAAGTATGCTTGAGGCTATTACGAGTTTACCTTAGTCGATAAACGCGAACGAGACAGTTACCAGCGTCCAGATAGGCTATCTTGAATCCCCAGGCTGAAGTAAAAAGGGCTTTGTAAGGTAGAGAGAGAAAAAAAACTTAATTTAGAAAGAATAAGAAAGGGTTGTCACATTACCCTTAAATTACAGGGTTGTGAAGATTGTTAAGTTACACATTTTTTGAAACTATGAATTCGATCAAGTTAGACATTAACACCGTTAGATGCCGGCCCAGTGGTCCAGAGGTTGGGTATTCGCACGCAAGACCGAAGGTCCCGGGTTCGAATCCTGTAAGGTTCAGGAGTCATGGATGCACACTGCTGATGAGTCTCATACCAAGACGAAACGGCCGTCCAGTGCTTCCAGGTTTCTAATGGTAGTCTAACAATGATTGATTGATGATTTCAAATGTGTAAAAATACTAATCTCTATAACTCTTATTGAAAATATCGTACTATGATTTATTGAAAGCTATGAAAATTGTCAAGATAATGAGTAGCTAAATTTACTCTGATTACTATTTATTTTCAAGTGTCATCTTCAAAATATCGCATTAAGAGTTGTAAATACTTTGCATGAAATAATTATCTAATGCCACCATTACACCTGATCAAACTGTTTCATAGACTTCATTTCGTTAAATGATCTTTTTTCATGTGTTCAACTTATAGTTAGTAAAACATTAATTCTTTTTTTCTTCATACAGTTCCACCTGTTATCATGAAACGTTATGGATCACCAGAAGAACATCGTACATCAGAATTTATTCCAATTACATTCTATTGTTTGTTACATGATATAAATCAAACTAAAGCAGAAATTACATGGACTAAAGACAATTCACCAATATTAATGTCCCTTGATGGTGATTATTTTGTTATACAAGATCAAGGTCAAAGTTTAACAGTGATACGTCCAACAACTGATGAAGTAGGATTATATCGTTGTTTAGCAAAGAATAGAGCTGGTGAAGATAGTCATAGTTTTCAATTAACTGTTATTGGTAAGTGAATATTATGAATAGGATTGGTAGACGACTAATTGATTGTAATTGATTTTTTTATTTGTTTAGTCTTTAGAACTGAAAGAATTTTAATCAATAACCCTATTAGTATAGATTGTTTGATACTAGACTTCATGCAACTAGTAGTTGTAATGATTTGAAAGAGATTCTAGTAGTTATCAGATACAGTAGATGCTTCCAGTTTGTTTGTACTCTCTGAGAATTAGGTTTCTAGGTTCTTATGCAAACTATGTAACAGTCTTCTTTTATCGTAAAATTCGGAGTCGCACGGGGTAGACCGATGTGCCTCGACTAGTTTTAAGGAGTCTAGAGAAACCCAGTGCTTGTAAGCGGAACTTTCCGTGAAGTCGTTAGCGACTTTATTCTCCATTCTCATTGCGTAGTTCAGTTCCAAACAGTGCTCATTCATACTTACCAGTAGGTCATTAACTAGCCTTGAACCTGTGTCGGTTTAGTTGCGACAGAAGCTGCAACCTTTGATCCATTTGGGAGAGTGAATTCGTTGGCCACTTAAACGTAAGGTGAGATTAGCACAAGCAAGAATATGATCGAAGTTCATATAAGTACTTCAAAAGAGTGATAGTGCTCTTCCTGACCACATCAGTGATAGCTCGTTGCTGTGTGGTCGGTCTGAGTCCATGGTTGAAATGCAGATGGAAATTTCAGGTAGCGCATCGACGATGACTAAGCCGACAGTTAGTTCTAGCCAGAAATAAGTTGTTATCTGTACAAAGTTGCAGGTGACGGTCACCGTTACCTAGACGACTCTCCTCTGTGCTCAGGTGCCCGAACTACACATTCACATTTCTAGAGAGTATCACAATCTCTATCAATCACAACTTCCTGAGGAGATCACTTAACCTGGGACACAATCTGTTAGGGTGTAGGCTGAGATAACAAAGAGGAATTCTATCTCGCACCGGTTCCTTCTCACTTTGATTAAGTTTTCTAATCTTATAGCGCACTAATTTCTGTTACTGCTGAATCATTCGACTAGTGCCGCCTCAGCTCTAGCTCTTACAGCCACACTAACGACAGCACGATCTGACGAAGATGCTACAGGGTCGCCGGGTAAACGCATGCGAAACTCGAATTTCGAAGTGACAGATGGAGAGCAAACATGCAGTACCTCATTCGAGTCTTGAATGCGGGTCTCTGATAGAAAACAGACAGTGATGTTTAGACAGGTGTAATATACAATCTGGTGGAACGACGTGAAGAGATCCAGTCGCCAATAATAGGTTTATACTCTGTTAGTTCCTTCAGGATCCTGGAGTCTATATGTACCACTGCTTTTGAAATCACCAACCAGCTTTTAACACTGGACATTCACTTTCCCGCTTATTCAATTTTGTAAACACCTGTGTCACAAGTAGGCAGCGATTAGGACTCACCTGTCAGTGGTTGTATAAACGTGGACATATCAAAGTATTTGAAGAGAGAAAGAAGACCTTCTCTACCCTCGGCCGTATCAAGACACTTCGAGGACTAATACAATTAACAAAGAACAATTCGTCAATGCTGGTTTATATTGTTAAATTATTTTGAACACAATAGGTTTATTGTGTTTATACTGTGGTGTGAGCTACTGATAAGTAGTATATGACGTGAGCGTCAACGTAATGTCTGGCAGCGGGAAATGGTGAAAGATCAAGAAAGGAAGAGTTAGAAAACAATGGAATTTGTATGAAACGCATGAATAGTGACAATGGATTGATGTTTTGAAACAGGAACAGTCCAGTTCCATAGGATGAACTGATATTTTGCAAATGAACAATTTACGATATGGTTTTTCAATTTTACTGAGTAAGCCTGTAATTTCGCTAAATGCATTCCGGTTGCCCCACCTGTGTTCTCGTTCACTACAATACGTTCCAATTAGATAATTAAAATTTCCTTAGCTCTTTTACATTGGATTATAACATGTAAATATTCGAATATTTTTATGTGGAGGCTTCTTCGACTTTGCGGTGTGCCTCAGATAATAGTTAACATCATACGAAATTCTTATGATGCATTCAACTGCAAAATCGTACACGAAGGACAGCTAGCAGAATCGTTCGAGGTGAAGACCGGTTTCAGGTAGGATTGCTTACTCTCACCGTTTCTCTTTCTCCTGGTCATCGACTGGGTTATGAAGACGTCAACATCTGGATGGAAGCACGGTATCAACTGGACACTTAGGACGCAGATGGACGATCTGGACTTCGCAGATGACTTGGCTCTTCTATCTCACACTCAACAACAAATGCAAGAAAAGACGACCAGTGTAGCAGCAGCCTCTGCAGCAGTAGGTCTCAACATACATAAAGGAAAATGCGAAATTCTCCGATGCAACACAGCATGCACCAACCAAATCACTCTTGATGCAGATGCCTTGGAGGACGTTAACACCTTTACATATCTGGGCAGCATCATCGACAATCAAGGTGGATCCGATGCAGATGTGACGGCGCGGATTGGCAAAGCAAGGGCTGCATTTCTACAATTGAAAAATATCTGCAACTCCAAACAACTTTCAACCAAAACCGAAATCAGGATTTTCAATACAAATGTGAAGACAGTTCTACTGTATGGAGCGGAAACATGGAGAACTACCAAAGCCATCATTCAGAAGATACAAGTGTTTACTAACACTTGTCTACGCAAAATACTTCGTATTCGTTGGCCAGACACCATCAGTAACAACCTACTGTGGGAGAAAACAAACCAGATTCCAGTGGAGGAGGAAATCAGGAAGAAGCAGTGGAAGTTGATAGGACACACACTACGAAAAGCACCCCTCCGGGTCACAAGACAAGCCCTCACATGGAACCCTCAAGGCAAAAGGAAAAGAGGAAGACCAAGGAACACATTACGCCGAGAAATAGAAAAAGATATGAGAGGAATGAACAAACATTGGACAGAACTGGAGAGGGAAGCCCAGGACAGAGTTGGTTGGAGAAAACTGGTGGGCGGCCTATGCTCCATTGGGGCTAACAGGCGTAAGTAAGTAAGTAAGTAATTTTTATGTTTGTCTGTGTATACCATTTTGGGAAGTTGGCATAAAAACAAAATCATGTTAATTAATTCACCGAGTTGATGATTGTTTTACGTTGAGAATATGATTATTAAGACCTTTGGATTATAACTTCATTTCTATAGTTCCTGGATGTTTACAAGCAATCAGTAAGAAACTAAAACACGCAAGTTTATGTACTACTTGTTCATTTTTGACAGAAACTTTATAATTTTTCTGTAATTTAGCTGCCCCCAGATTTCCATCAGATTTTGTACGTTATCGTCAAAAACTTGTTGTACGTTTGGGTGCTGAAATTGAATTTGATTGTCCAGCTCAGGGATCACCTTCACCCACAATTACATGGTATTATACAATGGTGCACCATTATCTCAATATAATGCACCTGCGGAATATACTTTTGATGATGATGGACAAGAAATTGAAAAATCTTATCATCCACTGGTAAAGATTTAGGTGAATATCAATGTTTAGCACGTAATGAAGCTGGGAATATATCAAAAATTTATGAATTAGAAGTGATTAGTAAGTTAAACAGGAATTTTTTTTTAAATTTAACTAATTTTCAATGAATTTCAGATGATAGTTATTACATTTTACTGAAATCATGAATCGATTAATGGTAAACCACTGTTTGAAGCATGGAAGTACTGGACAGATGGTTTGTCCTAGAATGGGACTTCTCAGCAGTACGAATCCAAGAATCCGCATGCGGAAACCAAACCTAAGACCTTTGGTCTCATGTGTGAACGTTTAGTCTTTGGAACATTTGACTGTCGTCTAAAAGGTGTTAATATCTAATTTTATTCTGACAATTATCATGTGCTCGGTAGTGTCTAGCTTTGTGTAGGAAGTTGCAATGAGAAGCTGTTACGCCTGCACGTGAACACGTCATTTTGATATGCTTGAACTATTACGAGTTTACCCCTTAGTCGGAAAACGAGAGCGAGGATCGAGGATCCGGCGACACGATATGCTACTCAAATCCGATTATCCCAACCCCCATATTGAATAAAAATAAGGTGTGATATGAAGTAGAATCTGTATTCTACAAGCATCCAGAAATTACTAGGTCTGAGTCCAGAAGATAATCAGGATCTCGGACTAGGGATCCGGGACCAGGTCCTGATCCTGGTCATAAAATGTTACAGATATAGATGCGTATTTATACATTTTGGTCGAATGCGAAACAGCATCAAATTCTGTGACATTGACAGTTAAGACGACCAATAGGAAGTAACATTTGAAGTGACATTGATAGTGAGGACAACCAATAAAGGACAACATTGGAACACGTGACATTGATATCTAGGACGACCATAAAATTGACCATTAGGAATTAACCAATAGGAATAGACCAATAATTCTCTTAGGATATTGGATGAATATCCTAACAGAAGTCATGATCACTTGGACGTCGGATCAATGGTCAAGTGGTTAAGTGTTCACAGGCGAAACCTAATGTCCTGTGTTCGATTCTAGTTTGTGGAGTTGCGAAACTGCACTGTTGATAAGTCCCCATATTAGTACAAAACATCTGTTCAACTCTTCTAGGTTTTTAGTAGTGAGATTGAGATTGGTCGACTCATCATTTCACTTTTCAGTAAATTAAAATGTAAATGATCATTATAAAATCAACTCTTTTTTATGTATGATGAAGTTGTCGGCTGTTTCTGTTCAAGCCTATGTTTTTCAGTTTCCGATTCAATGAACTTTGTTTGATTCTGTAGCTAATACACAAATTAATGTTACAATAGTTTGCATTTTAGAATGATTCGAACTCAAAATAATTAAAATTATCAATAAAATACTGCGGCGCTTGCTATATTTAAGATATAACTTGATATCAGCTAATAGGACGTTTAACCAGCTGTACACTAAGAGGAAAATCCAAGCATTTCCTTTGCCCCCAACCCAGTTAACCACACGAGGAAGTTTAGAGTTAGCAGGAAGAATATATAATCCAAAAGCAGCCTAGAACGACTGAATGAATAACAAACACTCAATTCATGCTTAATACATACAACAAAAAAACGTCCTTGAAAAGGAACCAATGATGTTTAATGTCCAAACAGGTGGGAAACATAACTCAAAGATAAAAATGTGCGCTTTTGGCGCGAATCTGAGGAATTCAAATTTTCATATATAAATTACCATATTCAGAAGTTTGCTAATATATTTCTAGGTGATCTAAAATTCTCAACAGATCATAAAACACTTACTTACCTCAAACTAGAAATGGTTGGTTGAACATGGAGTCACTCCCTAGGAAGATATTCTTATCAGTTCTATATAAAAGTTTTAACGAAGTTAATGTGAACCAGTAAATGATAAATGCTTATTTATGAATGAAATATGTAGGTTCTAAAATTACATGTTTTCTTGAAATCATGAATCCCTCATTGTTAGACCATCATTAGAAGCCTGGAAGTACTAAAAGACAATCGTTTCATTCTAGTATGGGACTCTTCAGCATCGCTCATCCAAGACTCCCTCTAATCGCAACAATCGAACTTAGAACCTATGTTTTGTGGTGTAGGAGTAGGTTGGAAGAAAGCTTGGGGCGGCCAGAACAAAACATGGCAGAAATCCATGAAGTCACTGACAAGTGAACTGAGTCATGTCGGTGGATGTAGACTACCTTGTTGGCGTCCGCGAGACGATAGTCATCGATGGTTAGAGACCTTGAACGACATGGCTCAAAATCGTTTGCAATGGCGCAAGTGCATCCATTCGTTGTGCTCTCTCAAATCCTAATCTTCTGGATTCATCAGCACCTCTATCTTTGTTTTTCTAACCTTATCTCCCTGAATTATACTTTTTGAATAATATCTTCAAACCCTAGTCTTCTTCATTAATACCATTAATACCTCTACTATCTTTATCGCTAAGGGATTTGATTTGACATTTGTGTTTGTGTTATTATTATTTCTAAGAATTATTTCTAAGTATATTCTAATTCACCATTCTATTTTTATCAACTATCATTTCATAGTAATCATTTTAATGTAAAATATTTGTATTTTGTATATTTCAATTTTCAGTGCCTCCATTAGTTCGACTAGATAAAACAGAAGTACGTGAAAGAGAAGGTGCTACATTCACTGTACACTGTTCTGCTGAAGGTCATCCGATGCCATCATTAGAATGGTTTAGAGAAACTGGTGGATTATTTCGTCTTGGAACAAGTGTTGATGTTAGGTAAATAATTATTGGCTTGAATTAGAAATATTTTTTGAGTTTTAAAGTTCACTATTCTTTTATTTTTGATTTATTGTTAAGAATAATCGATATCCCATTTCAATCAAGTTGAATATATTTATTTCGGTCACATTAACCTATAATAAACAAGCTTTAGATAAAAAAAATGTTTGTATCATCCTATGGTTTTGTGCGTTTTTCATTTGGTCATTCTATTTGGAAGTTACTTACTTACTTACTTACTTACACCTGTTACCCCAAATGGAGCATAGGCCGCCCACCAGTATTCTCCAACCAACTCTGTCCTGAGCTTCCTTCTCCAGTTCTGTCCAATGTTTGTTCATTCTTCTCATATCTTTCTCTATTTCTCGGCGTAATGTGTTCCTCGGCCTTCCTCTTTTCCTTTTGCCTTGAGGGTTCCATGTGAGGGCTTGTCTCGTGACACAGTTAGGTGCTTTTCGTAGTGTGTGTCCTATCCACTTCCACGGCTTCTTCCTGATTTCCTGCTCCACTGGAATCTGGTTTTGTTTTCTCCCACAGTTCGTTGTTGTTGATGGTGTCTGGCCAACGAATCCGAAGTATTTTGTGTAGACAACTGTTAATAAACACTTGTATTTTCTGGATGATGGCTTTGGTAGTTCTCCATGTTTCCGCTCCATACAGTAGAACTGTCTTGACATTTGTATTGAAAATCTTGATTTTGGTTTTTTATTTGGAAGTTAGTTAACTTTTAAATCAAATACTGATCATTTCTAAATACACTGTTTCCTATTTTGTACAAAAGCTAATTCTTTAAATTTTAAAGATACAGTGTAAAAGAGTACTATTTTCCCATTTACATATTGTGGTAAGTATTATTTACGACTTTTTATGAAAAATGAAACAGCTAAAAATAGTTACTTACTTACTTAAGTCTGTTATGCCTAATGCAGTGTAGTTAGTAGATATGCAATAGAGTATTGCTCTGAATTTGTCAACAAAGCGAAAAGTGTTGGATCCAGTTGGATGATGTGATCGGAGTATGTTAAAGAATAGAAGAGATGTACAAAAATACAACCAGGAGTATGCTCATTTTGTAAATGAATGTTTTTTCTAATAATGTGAATGAATACCCCAGTCAGATTTCAATGTGTTTTTTTTCAGTTTGATAGTGTTTAGCTTTGGGAGTATATTGAATTTAAAATTCATCCTTTTTATTTTAAATACATGATAAAGTAAATTTAGTTTAGTGTAGTTGTTACGCACTCACGTAAACATGTCATTTCGATATGCTTGAACTATTACGAGTTTACCTTAGTTGGAAAACAAGAGCGAGGATTGAGGATCCGACCACACGACATGCTACTCAAATCTGATTGGCCCAATCCCCATGGAGTAAAAGAAGAAGACTTGATATGAAGTAGAACATGTATTCTACAAGCATCCAGAAAGTACGCGAGGTCTGAGTCCAGGAGAGAATCAGTATTCCGAACTAGAGATCAGGGTCATAAAACGTTACAGATAATGCGTATTTATACAGTTGGTCAAATATGAAACAACATTGAAGTATGTGACATTGACAGTTAGGACGACCATAATATTGACTAGTAGGAATCGACCAATAGAATTAGACTTACAAAAATAATTCTCCTAGGATATCGGATGAATATCCTAACAGTAGTGTATATATTGCATTTCAATAAATCAATTTTATTTCAAGTTTATTTACATTACATACAAACTTTGACCATACAGTCAGTAAACGACCAAACAGTACTGGATGTTTATCTCGTATTGGTACAAAACTCCCTATTGTCGAACACTTGGAACCTCATTATGGATCCAGATAGCTATCAATGCTGGGAATCAATAATGGTCTCCTTAGATCTTAAACTGACTGAAGGTCAATCATTGACTTCTAACTTGGAAAAGTCAAGATAGTAGGCTCTCTTCAAGAGATAAAGATCCTAAGTTTGATCTCTATCAAAGTAGCAGGGACACAGTGTCGAGGAATTTTATACTACAACAAAGGAGTTGCCCAATGTTGTCTTTACTTTCAGTGAATCTCTAGTTAAATTCAATTGCCGAACTACATGACATCTAAAATGAGCAGTGTTCACAAAACTCCGATCTTTACAAGTTCAATTTCAGAAATACTTGATGCAAATGAGTGGTTACATTCATCCGAATTTTCCTTTTTGAAACCATGAATCGATCAATGTTAGACTACCATTTGAAACCTGGAAGCATTAGACGGCCGTTTCACCCCACTATAGGAGTGATCGGCAGTGCTCATTCACGACTCCTGCTACCCGAAGGATTAAAAACCAGGACTAGATTTTGCTCGCGAACGCCTGACCTCGGGGCCGCTGAGCCTGTATCCAACGGTGTTAATGTCTAATATCGATCAGTCCATGGTCTTGCGCAACTTCGGTGAAAACTGCATTACAACCTAAGAGGGTTGATCTTTACTGATCACAACTTTTCATTAGAAAGTTTCTAACGGAGCTAGTCAATAGTGAGCACATGTGGTCCTTGATTTGTTTACATATTCTTTCAAAGTTTCCAGGACGTTCTTCATAGAGAGAACGAGTGTTTGATAATGATTTAACTCATAGAGAATTACTTCTATCAATTCGAACTCAACACGATAAAAATTGATGTAAACATTAACTAAATAATCTTTACTTTATTTAAAAACCCACATATTTCTTTTAGCACTGGACTCTTAACAATAACAGATGCTAAAAAAGAAGATAGTGGCCGTTATATATGTAAAGCAATCAATAAAATCAGTGAAGATTCTAAATCAGTTATGATAGAAATCATTGGTAAGTATATCATCTGATTTATATTCTGTAAACCATTTACCTTGAATTTCTCAATGAATAAATCGGGTTGTTAATGCAAAGTCAAAGACATTGTTAGTTTTTTTGGTTATGCAATAACAAAGTCATTCGCTTCAAGGATTGCTTACTTACGATTGTTACCACTTGTGGAACATAGGCTGCGGAACCAGATTACCTAACCTACGCTGTCCAGGGCCTTCCTTTCCAAGTCTATTCAACTGCAGTTTATTTTTTTCATGACTGTCTCCGCTTCTCAGCGTAATGTGTTCTTTGGTCTACCTCTTTTCCTTTGGACTTGAAGATTCCAAGTGAAGGCTTGTATTTTGACGCAGTTGGGTGATTTCTCTAATGTGTGTCCTAAATGACTAATCCAATAGTAATTGTTAAGCTCGTCACTTGGTACGCTTGAAGCTATTACGAGTACACCTTAGTCGATAAACACGAATGAGACAATTAGCACAGTCCAGATAGGCTACCTTGAATCCCAAGCTGTAAACAGAGGTCTTGATAAGTGTAGAAAGTATATTCTACAAACACCCAGCAACCACAATACAATCAAACATACAACTCTCGTTTATTTATACATCATAGAAACATCCTTGGGACAGTTAAGAAAATAACACACTAAAATACATAGAAGCCAATCACAGTCATGGATTCTCCTGGTGGGAAATGAAATCTCAAATTCAACTGATCAGCTCATGCTGGCAAACGTGAAAACCAAAATAAGGCATTTATGAAGCGAGTTCTGATCTAATATCCCCAACAGTAATCTAAATTACCTGATAAGATTTTTTTCAAAACTATACAACCAAATGAAACCGACTCTGGTTTGGAAAGATTTCCACTTGACTGATTAACAGTTTGAATTGTTTTTGTCTAGTTTTATTCAGCGTTCTATCGTACATACCGTTTCTAATTTTCGCATGTCAGATTACAGTTGGACTAACATATCTAGATAGTACATTAACTGCTTTGTATTTGAAAATCTGTCGTGGATGTGTAACTAGTTGAATAATTCAATATTTTATTTATACATTTGAAATAGTCATTGCTTCATAAATCACATTGTGAATGAATCATGTGTGTTGCATAGTGAGATGGTGGAGAATATTTGTAGCTCAGGTGGATGATTGTGGTGGTGGTGGTGTTTGGTTCTCTGAGCTGAAGATGTTTTGGTTGTGAAGCTTTCATTGTTCTTCTTATTTTGAGCAACATCGTTATCAGCAAAAACTTCAGATAGTAGAAGTGAAGTATTCGAATTCCTTCTCCCCGTTTGACCTATAGCTTGTCAGTCAACCTCGATCTTGATTGGTTGTTGTTGACCTTAAATATGTCGTTGTCAATGCACCTTTGTTTTGATTGTATCCCCTTTTTGATCTGTTTCTTGATCCTATGTCACCTATGATTTTTCTGAATGGTTGATAAATTGGGTCAATGTCGAACCAATAAACGGATCATCATAGGATCAAGAAACAGATAAAAAGGGAGATATAATCAAAACAAAGGTACAAACAACGATAGGTTTAAGGTCAGCTACAACTAATCAAGATCAAGGTTAGCAGAACAAGCTACAGGTGAAACATGGAGAAATTCGAATACTTCACTTCTGCTATCTGAAGTTTGTGCTGATGATGTTTAGTTCAGAAAGAAGAACAATGAAAGCTCCACAACCAAAACACCCAGCTCAGAGAATGAAACACCACCAACACCACCACAAATATTTCATAGTGTTTTTTTTTAATCATTCAATTCAAGATTGACTATTGAAATTGTACTCCATTTTATTGATGTATATTTGATAAAACAACATAGAATTAGTTTAAATTTACAAATATTTTGAGATTATTGTATTCTTACTGGCAATAAACTTTTGTATATCTATTTTTTTAATTACTCAGAACGACCTACAATACATACAACAATGAAACCAATTTTAGCTAGAGAAAATGAACAAGTATTATTACCATGTAGAACAAGTGGTACACCACCAATACGTATACAATGGCTACTGCCATCGGGTCAATTAATTACAGCTGATCAACCTGGTGTATTTCGATTTCTTCCGGAACAAGTAGGTTATATTATTTCATGATGATGATGATGATGTTGAGAATGAATTACTTACTTACTTAATGTTAGGATATAATCAAATATCCTAGAAAATTATATTGGTCAATCCCTATTGGTCAATATTTAAGGTCGTCCTAAACTAGCAAGTTAACATCATACGGAATTCTTATGATGGATTCAACTGCAAAATCGTGCACGGAGGTCAGCTGACAGACTCTTTCGAGGTGAAGACCGGTGTCAACCAAGGTTGCTTACTCTCACCCTTTCTCTTTCTCCTGGTCATCAATCGACTGGATTATGAAGACGTCAACATCTGGAGGGAAGCATGGTATCAACTGGACAGTTAGTTCGCAGCTGGACGATTTGAACTTCGCAGATGACCTGGCTCTTCTATCGCACACGCAACAACAAATGCAAGAGAAGACGACCAGTGTAGCAGCAGTCTCTACAGCAGTAGGTCTCAACATACATAAAGGAAAAAGCGAAATTCTCTGATCCAGCACAACATGCACCAACCAAATCACTCTTGATCGAGATGCCTTGGAGGACGTTAACACCTTTACATATCTGGGCAGCATCATCGACGAGGAAGTTGGATCCGTTGCAGATGTGAGGGCATGGATTGGTAAAGGAAGGACTGCATTTCTACAGTTGAAAAATATCTGGAACTCCAAACAAATATCCATCAACACCAAAATCAGTATTTTCAATACAAATGTGAAGACAGTTCTACTGTATGGAGCCGAAACTCGGAGAACTACCAAATCCATCGTCCAGAAGATACAAGTATTTATTAACAGTTGTCTTCGCAAAATACTTCGTATTCGTTGGCCAGACATCAGCAACAACTTACTGTGTGAGAGAACAAACCAGATTCGAGTGGAGGAGGAAATCAGAAAGAAGTAGTGGAAGTGGATAGGACACACACTAAGAAAAGCACCTAACTGCATCACGAGTCAAGCCCTCACATGGAATCCTCAAGGCAAAAGTAAAAGAGGAAGTTCAAGGAACACATTACTCCGAGAAATAGAGAAGGACATGAGAGGAATGAACAAACATTGGACAGAACTGGAAAGGGAAGCCCAGGACAGAGTTGGTTGGAGAAAACTGGTGGGCGGTCTATGCTCCATTGGAGGTAACAGGCGTAAGTAAGTAAGTAAGTGGT